ACCATTTTTGATTGGAACCATCATCTGATAACTCGCGAGTGGCTTTGGACGGGAATCACTCGGGCAAGGGATTTAAACAGAGTAAAATTTTACAAATACAGTAGTGATTTAAATGAAGAGTTTAACGCAAAATGCATTATGAATTATTTTGATAGAAAGGTGTTAGCATACAAGGAACAGGATAGGAAAAACAAATTTGAGATCCCAAAAGACAATTATGTGGATGCCGAATGGTTGAAGGACAATGTCAACGGAAAGTGTGCAAATTGTGGCTGTGGTTTCGTGTTGTCAATGGATTCTGGTAATATAAATTCTAATCTGACTTGTCAAAGGTTATGTAATGATCTTCCCCATACAAAGGATAATGTCATTGCCTTCTGTGCTTCTTGTAATAGATGCTTCAGTGATAAAATAACATATTGATATTTATTTTATAGTGTTATATATATGAGTGAAAAAGACAAGATAATCAGTGAGGTCTACTACGATCAGGCTGGCTTTGGCTCTTTAAAAACAACTCTTGCAGACGCCAAAAAGAAAGATGCATCCATAACAATGCAAGATGTCAAGGAGTGGTTTCAAGAGAACGTGGAACGGAAAAAACAACTGTCTGGATACAATTCGTTTATTGCCCCTGATATCAACTTTGAATATCAATTGGATCTGTTTTTTATATCAAAAAATGATTTAGATAATCAAAAATATAGGATAGGCTTATTGCTTATTGATGTATTTTCCCGCAAAGCCGTGGTGGTGCCTATTGCATCCAAGCAACCTGCCGACATCACGGCTGGGATCATGGAGGCATTAAACAAAATGGGAGGGAAACCCAAATTAATTTATTCGGATGACGAGGGGAGTCTCAATACCCAAGATCTTGTTGATTTTTTCAAGGACGAAGGGATCCAAAACTATAAAACACGAGGGCACCCCCATTTCGCCGAGCGTTTCATTCGCACGTTCAAGGACATGCTTTTCAAGAGGGTTGATGCAGACGAGAAAAAGGGAAAGGTTAATATACAATGGGTTGATTATATCCCCGAGATCATGCTGACATACAACAGTAAAATGGTTCATTCTGCCCACGATATGACTCCAAACGATGCCCACAAAAAGGGAAACCATCTTGAGGTCAAGATGAAGCTTGAGATGAACAGAATCAAAACCCGTAAATATCCCCCTGTTAGGGTTGGCGATGAGGTCAAAATATACCGCAAAAAAGGGATTTCCGAGAAAGAAAGAACGAGCAACTGGAGCAGTGTCAAATACAAGGTTTCAAGGGTTGAAAAAAAACTTGGTCAAGATTATTATTCTGTCGAAGGGATGAACCGCCCCTACTTGAGGTCAGAGATTCTGAAGGTTTGAAAAAATAATATCTAAACGGTTCTAATAGCTGATGAATCTATTAGAAATGTTTAGTGGGACAGGGTCGGTCGGTCGCGTCGCCCGTGATCTGGGGTTCAATGTCATTTCGCTGGATTTGAAGGGCGCTGACATAAACCAAGATATTTTACATTGGGATTACAAACAGTTTGATCGGAATCACTTTGACATAATTTGGGCTTCTCCCCCGTGCACTGAATACAGTAGAGCCAAGACAACAGGGGTCCGCAAAATAGACTATGCAAATTCCATTGTTTTGAAGACCCTTGAGATCATTGAGTATTTTAAGCCCCGTTATTGGTTTATTGAAAATCCCCAAACTGGACTGTTGAAAGAACAGGAGTTTATGAAAGGGCTACCTTTTTTTGATGTTGACTATTGCAAATATGGGATGAGATACAGGAAAAGAACTAGGATCTGGACTAACCTAACGAAATGGAAACCAAAACCATTGTGTAAAAGGGATTGTGGGAATGTGGTTGATGGGAAGCATGTTGAAACTGCGCAACGGTTGCCACCCGGAAAGAGGAATGAATGGGGTTTAAGTCCTATTATTCACACTGTGGATGAGTTGTATCGGATACCCCAAAATCTAATTAGTGATATATTTAGTGTTATGTAGGGGGAACCCAAACAACAAACACCCGACCACCCAAAAATGAGGCTCCCGAGCGCGAACTCGATCGTCATACCTGCACATAGATGGACGCAGACAATGTCAGCATGAACTGTGCTTTTATTGTTGAAATCTGAGAGCACGTGCAAAAACGACCTTTGATTTCCACAGCGGTATCGCCTAGAGGTTTCTGAATACCCACCTACTGCAAACTGTCCCTTGCAGATTTGGTGGGCGAGACACACACTGGTGAAATTACATGATGGCTGTAGAATGCAACCATGTTGACTATGGAATGTAAGCATGTTGACTATGGAATGTAATCATGTTGACTATGGAATGTAATCATGTTGACTATGGAATGTAATCATGTTGACTACAGTTTGTAATCATGTTGACTACGGTTTATTTCCACCCATCAAAACCAGTGTGTGTGATCATGACTGATTGCTTGAAATCAGTCCATCTTTACATCACCATCCTTGGAGGGAGGTGTTGGCTGACTCTCAATTTGACTTGGAGCACCTGAGCCACCAAACAAAGGGTGAAGGTTTTCACCACTTGCCCTTGCCTTTGGCATTGGCACGCCTTGATTGATTAGCCCTCCACCAAAAATGGATGGCAAAACGGCAGATGAAGAGGATTTCATCTCTTCGCGACGGTCTTGAATGTTCTCAATGATCCTGCCCAAAGCCTTCCAAGAAACTGTTCCATTCTCACTCATCATTGCCTCAGTGAGAATGAGACGCACCACTGCCATGGCTATAGACTTGGCATTCTGCACATCCAACTCCAAGGTGAACAGTTTGGGGATGAAATGTTGGAGCAGTTTCTCATTCAACTCGTCCAACTTTGCATCAGCCCGCGAGGCTTCAAAAGATGCCAAAGTCTCCAACCCGTCATCCGGGGCGCAGGATACCAACTTCTTCAACGCAAACATGGCACCCTTGTTGGTGTCCACCAAGTCCGCATGAAGTGCCGAAATCTTGTCACTGTCCTCCTTGACAATGTTGCGAATGTCCTCTGGGAACGGTTTGGCAAACAAGTCAGCCAAGGATTTCTGGTTCTGGCTCTGCAAGAAGGATTTCTTGGTAATCTGATTTTTCTGCGTCTCCTTTTTCTTTGCACCTCCAACTCCATGGATTGACATGTCAAGCGTGATGTCAGCAACGAGAAGAGATTTGCACATCTTCTTGTTCTCAGTGAGTGGCATGTCACGCCAAGAAAGGTTCACCTGCTTGTAGGTCAAGTTCTCACCAAGATCGTGAAGCGCAATGCACTGAGTCTTCAACATGCGAAGTGTGTCGGTCTCCCTCACAAGCAACTCCTTGGACAGGCGGTCAAACTTGACAAGCACGGGGAATGTTGGAGAGTCACCACTCGATGAAGCCATCTCGGACGCTTGTCCTTCTTCATCAGAAGAAGACAAGTCAACCAAGCCAAGCCCACCCTTGTTGGTCTCAGTGGCTTCGTTGGTGACGAGGATCTCAATCGTCTCAGTGGCTTCGTTGGTGACAGGGATCTCAATCGTCTCAGTGGCTTCGTTGGTGACAGGGATCTCAATCGTCTCAGTGGCTTCGTTGGTGACAGGGATCTCAATGGTCTCAGTGGCTTCGTTGGCGACAGGGATCTCAACGGATGTGTTGGGAAGTAGCACTTCACTGGGAACATGCAAACGCCCAAGTCCAACGCGGTCTGAAACAACAACCGTGCAAGTACGGCATATTGTGGTGCGAACCTTCCGAGCATTCGTGACGTCCTGCAGTGTGACTTCAAACTCGAAATGGTGAAAGGCATCAATCTTTCTGATGTCATAGTTCAAGTGGAATGCCCTCAAAACTGCATCTTTCGCCATCTTTATTGTCCAATACCCATTCGGAACAACTTCTGTCGTCTGACCACGATAGACACAGAAGAGAATTCTTTCAAAGTGACCATCACGCACCTTGTCGTAGCACAAGGTGCGACTGGCCTCAATCATCTGTTCCCGAGACCTCTGGACGAACTCCCGTAACTGGGTCGCTCCTGACGGTTGTTCCTCTATGACCCACCCATTGGAAATGACCTGACTCAATGCCATGTTCTGGACAACCATCCTCTCAAATGCCTCCTTATAGGAACCAGCCATCGCAGGGTCGCCCATTGTCACTTAATGGCACCGCCTCTGAACTTAGAGCCTGAAATTCTCTTGCGGACAAATGCTTGAAAATCGCACCAAATGACTCAACTGATGCAAACTGTCTGCTAAGAAATGACAGCCGGTCTGGTGGGGCACACTTATCAAAGACGTTGTGGTAGTAGACGAAGCGCGGAGCGGCGCGACGGTTCTTCCAGAAATTTCGGGCACAGGCCTTTCCCATCCGCATTTTGCCATCCATATTTTACTGGGATTGTTTTCAAGATTTGGGTTAACGGTTTTAATTCTCCCTTTTCCATTGGTTAACCTTTTTTCGGGGCGAACATAGCGTTCTTTTTTAGACTGTTCGTATTTGTTGGAAATGGGAAAGGGTCTCAGGTTGGATCAAGGGAGAAATTATTGAGATCTTGGGGTTGCGATCTTGGGAATGGAAAAATGTTGGTATGTAGCTTGTTTTTTTTTGGTGGGATTTGTTGAGGTGGTATGTAGTTATGATTGTTGTTATTGAATGAGCATAAGGGTGATGTTGAGATGGGGTAAGAAATGAAGATGGGTGTGTGAATATGTGTTTTTTGGTGTTGGAGTGGGTGGGTGATTGAATTTGAATGTTGAAAATAGGCTGTTTTAGTGGGCGTATTTGAATTGTGCCCAAAAGTGTGGGGGGGACCCTAGGACCGGATGGCAAAATGCGGACGGGAGAGGCCTCCACTAACTGTAGGATGCGTTTGGACCAACTCTGAATCCTTGCAAAGGGACGTTTTGGATTTATCCCTGAAGAACCCTTTGAAAGAAAGCGGGGGTTCCTGTCCGAATGTCAGTCGGGGAAAGAAACACCGACGCCGCCTGACCGAATCAAAACTCGAGGTGCGGGGGCTCCTACCTCAAGCTCTTCGACAGCGAAGGCAGCGGCTCGCGAGCGAGCGAGGGGGGATTGGTGTCCATTTTGTCAGCCTTTTGTTTCAGAGCCTTGTCCTGGCCAATGGCCATGTTGCTTTTTGTTCTTTTTGTTGAGGGCTTTGTTTTAACCCCCGAGGAACCCGGTGTTTTGCGGGGGACATCTCGGCAAACCTGTTTGCAGGCAAAGGCCCGGAGGAGTTCGATGCAGACACCCGCGGCCTGGAATGGAATTGGGGGAAGGTGTCCAAATGGGGGGGGGGCCAACAAATGCTGATGTTCCTCGTGGTGTACCCTTCACCAAGGTGAACAAGAGACTCCCCCCAAAAACGCCCGCTGAGTTTACTGCGGGCCAGCATGAGAGAGATAGAGAGAAAGAGAGAGGGAGATTGAGCTTCAGTTCGAGTTTTGAGTTTAGGTCGGCAAACGTGTAACATGTCGAAAGCACCGCCCCGCAGAGTTCCGAAGAACTGTTTGTCAGGAATTCTTTGTGGCTTTCCATGGCGGGAACCCCACAAGCCACCGGCTGGCCGGCCAGGGGTTGCAAGACTTGGGCCACCAATCCGGTTGTAAAGCGAGCTGAGGGCCACCTCGATCTGCCAACAACCAAACCCCAAACGCGCAGAAGAAAGCTGAGCGTGTCTTGCTGCCTCTACAGAGGGTCCCCTAAAAAGGGTTAACAAGGGTCCGAGTCCAGTCACATCGTGCCAACCCTTCCTGCGAATACACGTTGGTGACCCCAGGCTACGTCATCATGTTCGGCCCTGACCGGTGCGGCGGCACTAACAAGGTCCACTTCATCCTGCAGCACAAGCCCCTCGCCGAAACATACCAGCGCGCCTGTCGCTCCGTGAGGGGTGTTCACGTTTGCAGTTGGGGGCATGGGCCAAAGGCCTGCGGGCTGAAGCAGATCGGACATCGATGGGTTTGTTGTCTCTTGCTCGCCCTCGTGTCAGGTGCAGAGCATCAGGTAACCCTCAGCCGGTGATATAGTTTGCTTCTAGGGGAACCCTCTTGTGCTTGGTTGAAAGAGGAAACCAACAGACACCATGTTATGCACCCATATTTTTGCGAGACCCGTGGCCCGGTTCTCGACCTCGGGCCTCACTTTGGCGGCTGGTTCGCGACAAGCGCACGCGGGGGTTGGCAAACCACTTTTCAGGCCCTTCTGATATTTAACATCCAACATTGCCCTCTGAAAAGGACACACCCACATGTGAGTTCATGCACTTATACAGCCGCAGCACGATATGACCAACAACAATTTCAAATCCTCAAAATGGGCTCAGCCGTTTTCTGAACGGCCACACTTATCCTTTTCGAGGGGGCCTGCCGAACGGCAAGCCAGGAACCCCGTGAGCGGCAAGTGGGAGGAGAAGCACTGGGCCACCCCGCCCAGCGTGCCCTCGGAGCGCCGGACCCACCTCTACGGAGACTCGGACGTTGGGGTGGCAGGTGCAGGGCTCCCTTCCCCCAATGGCTCAGGGGTCGGTTCACTGTGGGGAAAAATTGGGCGCCAAGTAGCAATCGGAGTTTTGACAATTTATCCAGACCCCCCAGTGAACACCCAGCTACTGCCACCTTCAAGTGCTTCCCTTTGGTGGATGATGTTGAAAGGGGACATGTAGAGAGTTAGCTCTCAAGATTTGAGTTGTTCGATGAGTCTTGCTTTGAGTTGCGCAGGTCTTCGTTGTTCTGGTTGGCAGCTTGAATGAATGCTGGAAGGCCCGTGAAGGCCCTATGCACAAAGACGGGAAGGCTTGGGCCTTGATCGGCGAGCAAAGGCACTCAACAGAGAAACAAGCCGGGCTTCTTTTTGGTTTAGCATCTGAGTCTTGGGCAACAAGCTTCAGCACAGCCCAGATATCATGGATTTGTTGTTAGAATCGCCCATCCATACCAGACCGAACCACATTGTCCGTGTTTGGTCAAGTCAGGGCTCATCCTTTCTTGACCGTATCTAAGCCGTTTTCTTTCACTGCCAACCCGTTGTCTAGACATGTTTCAACCACTTCAGAAAGATGTTTTAACCATTGTCGCTTAAAGACGTAGCACATGTTGCCTAAAGACCCCTCTTCAAAGACCTGTCTTCAGGAAGCCTGTCCACTTTGACAATGCTCCATTTTGCCTCCCCCGGCACCCCCCCCTCTCCACACGCCTCCCCTTCACAACGCAAGAGCACAGGGTTGTTCATCCGCCCGGACAACAGCGTTGAGATGTATGTGGACGGGGAGATGAAGGCTTCCGGGTCCCTGCTGAAGGACATGCAGCCTCCGGTGAACCCGCCCAAGGACCAATTGTGGAGCATGGAAGTGTTTGGGCTGGTCCTAGAACGCAAAAGCAGGAAACACTCAAAAAACCTTTTCAAAATTGATCAAACTACCCGCCAACATGGCCATTTGTTTGGCTCTGCTCGTGCCAGCAGATTTCTCGGGGATCGCTGCGGCAGTGCGGCCGCGAGGAGATCGACGACCCCAGCGACAGCAAACCCGCGGACTGGGTGGACCTGGCGAGGATCGACGATCCCGAGGCCAAGAAGCCAGAGCCTCCGCCGCACACGGCACGCGTCGAGGGGCCTGGCTGTGGGCCCGCTAACAGCGCCAGGCAGCTTGTGTGGAGCAATGGGCCCAGGGTCGATGGCGATGTTTATTTGTCGGAACCTTGGGCTGGCGCAGCGCAGTGGCTGCAGGCTTGCAACCTGCGTCTTTTCTCCAAGCTTCCGGTTTCACGTGCTGTTTGCCGCTTCACCCGTTGCCCCCCCTCTCATTCCTGAGCTGGGCTGAGGATGACTGGGACGAGGACGCGCCGTTCCAGATCCCGGACCCCGCCTCCAGCATGCCGTCTGGGTGGCTGGAGGATGAGCCGCTGAAGATTGCGGACCCTAGCTCGAAGAGGTGCCTGACGGGGCAAGCGGAGGGGGAAAGTGTTGCGAGCGAAGGGCGGGTATTGTTTGGCCCACTTTCGAGACGGCGAGGTGCAGTGGTGTCCAAAGGTTTGCTCTTAGGGAAGGGTCCGTGGATTGTTCCTTCTCAAAGAGGGTCTCCAGAAAGGGCCAGTTCAAATGTTTGCCCTCAGATAGCCTCTTCCCATTCGTTCCCAGCCCGTAAACTTTGCTGGGCCTTGGGACCTCCGCTCTCGGACCGTTGGCTCGGCTTGGGAAGGAAGGTAGAGATACAGCAAAAAGCGTCCCATCCCGAAGGGAGATTCCTTGACTAAACCGTGTTGTGCTCAAGTATTTCCCATTGATTTTCACGGCGAATGCTTCAATCTGAAAGCTGCTTGTCCAGAGCCGGTCTTTTACTTCCTGAACAGAAGCCAAGGGGATGGCTGTTTTTTGTTTTGTTTTCCCAGACCCCCTTCTTTTCGCCCAGGCTGGGCTTTGGGGGTGGCAGTCAACCCGCCACCCGGCGTAGCCGTTTTCCTCCATCCACTCTTCCGATCCTTGATTCTTTTCAACAACCCCCTCCCCGCCACCAACAGGAAGCTCACTTTGGCTCCCCGAAAAGGCGATGTTCACAGCTGTCGCCATTTTGCTCGGAGATGCATCCGACCCGCGGATGTAAACAAAAACTCCCCTCACTGGAAACGCTGGGGACCCTGGTGGCACCAGGCCCACGGATTGGGATGATGAGGAGGACGGGGAGTGGGAGGCTCCAGTCATCAGCAACCCCAAGTGCTCCGTAGGCTGCGGCAAGTGGGAGGCGGGCGATGGGGAGGGATTGCGTGGTCCAACTTGACGGAATTCTGTTTAGGTTTCGCAGGCCCTGCAAAGTATTTTTGTTTGGTCTCGCTATGGGGCGCGCCTGACCCGCATGCCCCGCATCCCGAAAACGGTTTGCCTCAGGCCCCGAAGATCGCCAACCCGGAGTACAAGGGCAAGTGGTACGCCCCGAAGATCGAGAACCCGGCCTACATCGGCGAATGGAAGCCGAGGCCTTCCGGAACTCACTTTAAAACGACAAATACACTTAGTCGGTGCGTTGTGGCAGATGGCGGGAGGTTTCTCATGCGAAGCTCTCTATACCTTGAAAGATGTTGAGCAATCCAGGGTTCGCAGAGTTGCGCTTTTGAGGCTCCTCTTGGAAACTTAGTGGTGGATTTTTTCAAAAAGAGGCCACCCTGGTGGTGCGGCCGCGCTTAATCGACTTGGGCTTTTCAACCAAAGCCCAGAAGATCCTCCCTGGTTTGGTCCGCTCCATTTTTCTGATAGGGCGAGCTTACCGATTCGAGCAGGAACCGAGCGAAAGCCGCGATGAAACCAATTTCTCAACTTCTTATTCCAGGTTGTGGTATTTTTGTGGTAGTTGCGTATTTTTGTTGTCTGCTCCGAGCTAGGCTTAAGCTTAAAAATGGGTTGGTTGATTTCCCGGGGAAGGGGCCTGGGCTTAAGGGCTTAAGTTTGGTCCCTTAGGTTCCTTTCTTCCTTTCCATTAATTCTTGTGTCTTTCCCTCTCCCCGTAGGCAGATCGACAACCCGGAGTACTTCGTGGACGAGAGCCCCAACAAAATCCCCACCATCGACTCGGTGGGCATCGACATTTGGACCATGGACAAGGGCATCCTCTTCGACAACATCGTGCTGGACTCCAACCCTGAGAAGGTGCCGATTTACGGCAGCCGCACGGTAAATGCATCGCCTGACGGAGAAGCAGAAGGGGAAAAGGGGGGGTGGAACGAAAGGAAATCCATGCACGCTTGGGTTCGGGAGGCGGCCCGCTGTGTTGAGCACGGCAAACAAGGGCACCTAAGGCCACTTCAAACATAGTTTGCTGAACAGAATGCGGCAGGTTATGGAGTTCGGGAAGTTGACCTTCAACCTTCGCAGCGAGATCGAGATCAAGCAGGAGGGGAAGGGTTCCTTTCACGGCCAGGGACACGCAACATGTCGGAGCCGGCTTTTGCCAAAGCGACCGACCTTGAGAGACCTTGCCTAATTTTTGGTTTGGTTGGCATTTGGTAAGCTCAACTCGTGGTTGCCGTTGGAATGAAACCCTTATGTACGGTTTGTATGCTTCTATTGTGGACCCACCCCTCCATGAAAAAGGGAAAGCAATCAAAAAGAAAGGGTGGAAGAATGCATCCAACCTGTTCTCCAGATACCCTCCACATGGCTTTGGCAAAGGCGAGCCAAGAGGAGGCCCGAAGAAGCCCTCATTTTGGGCTCAACATACTCCCAACGGACCACGGCTTGCCTCAGAACTGGGAGGTTTTCCGAGCTTCCCTTGTTGGTTTTGGTCTCAAGGCTGCGCTTTTTTGTGGCCAACCACGGCGCCCGTCGTGCCCGCCCGCCCGTCGTGCTCGCCCGCCCTTAGCTCGCGGCCGAGCCGCGCCGCGAGAGGAGCCGGCGCCTTCCACGGGGGGCTTCCTCGAGCAGTCCCTGGATTGGGCCACTCGCTCCGGCGAACAGAGGCACCGCCTTCCTTTTCGGCGTCGCCCTTTTTATCTTTCTCCAAAAAGGATCGAGGAGCCAAAGAAAAGAAGACCCCGCAAGTTTTTAGCCAAACTCCTCGCAACCATGGCCAGGTTTGCTGTGAGCCGACCCTGGGGCACTGAGGCCCTCAACAACCCGGTGAAGCTCCTGATGACAGTTCTGGTGCAAGCCTGAGCCGAGACTCATGTGCCCATTCGGTGGTCTCCCCATGATTGCGCTGGGCCATGTTCAGTTTTCAAACTTTTCGGGTGATTTCCCTCGCCGTTAGGGCAACCTGGGGGATACCAGAACTTCAAAAAACGCGACAGCGACGCCTTTGTGGTCTTGGCTTCTCCTGTGGTTGGTGGGCGATGCTCCCCAGAACCGCCTCTGGAGCTATATCGCTCCCAGCGCTTGCGTAGCTCCATGGTTTCTTTTTGCGGTGGGGCCTTTCAGCTCTCCGTTCTCGGAAGGATCAAGCATGGCCGGTTTCATGTTGCGATGTTCAAGTGGTGCCCCAACTTAATTGCGATTGGTTGTTTCAGCTGGGAGTGGCTAGGGGAAATTGGCTCCTTTGGCAAGCCCCTTGATTAGTGAGTTCTGTGATTGCTGATGTTGAAAGGTTGGTAAGTACAGGCGGAACCCTGTATCATTCACATGGCTGAATCCAGGGTGATATGATTATGCAGCCTTTACCCTTATGTACCCATTTAACTTCATGCACCCTGCACCCGCGTTGCTCTCAGGCGCTTCTGGGCGGCAGCTTCCTGCTGCTCGGCTCAGCCAGTCGGGGGGTCTTGCTGCGTTGCTCATTTTTGTTTCGTGTTTTTCGACGGGGTTGGTCAGGGAACGTGCTTTTTGCGTTGCTTAGCAACAGCTCCGTGCTTAGTACTGGGTCGGGCAAGGCATGGGCTGGCTGGCTGGCTGGCTGGCTTGCTTGCTTGCTTGCTTGCTTGCTGGCTGGCTGGCTGGCTGGCAGGCTGGCTTGCTGGCTTGCTGCTTGTTGCTGTTGTTTGTGCTTGCTCTACTCCGGGGGCCCCAGGGAGGGGGGGGGGGGTGCCAATAAGTTAATTCCTATTTCCAAACATCAACTTCAAGACAACTCATTTTAGGCTCTAAACGAAGCAACCGCAGCCATGACCGACAAGTTTGTTGTTGATGCCGAATGATGTTTTGTTCATGCCAGTCTTTTTATTGCGTTTTACAGCTACATAGTGCTTAATAAGTGTTTGTTCCTTTAAAATATGATTTTCAGAAACGTATTTTTTGATGCGCCTCACTGACTCACCCATCTTGAAAGCCGTTTTATTCTCGCCAACTTCCTCGCTTTCCGTCTTCGAACTGTTGCGCTGCATTTTGCAACCTTTTCAGAGCTTCCGTCCCCTTTGCCTGCTGATCTTGCTTTGTGGGGCCCCAGTTCCTCTTCACTGTCAAATCTGTTTTTGTAGAGGTACCCCATTCCCAACCATCATGGAAGTGGACAGCTGGCCTTTTGAGGAGGACAGTGGTCTTTCGCCTTCTGCCAGCTTCCATTGGAAGAATGGTAGTGTGGGGTGAAAGTAGATGGGACAATTCGTCATTTTGGTTTAGTCATTCCCTTTACTTGCCCACGTCAACCGGAATTGTGCTATCTGCTTCCACCCTGGTGCGGGTTGGGTGTAGTGGAGAGCCTCTTTTACAGTTTATGCTTAGCCGCCAGTCTCGCAAGAAAAGATTACGGCGTTCAATGCATTCCACCCTTGAAATCCCGTTGGGTTAGGCCGGGTGGTTAAAAATTGGAATCCACTGACCAAAACGGGGCTCCCTGGTTTAAAGCCAACCCTTAAACCTCCTGCCAAACTTCCCTTGTGGCGTAGTCCTAGTGCAGATGGGGATTAGGCCGCGACCTCCCCCTCCCCAAAAATCAACGAGCCGAGGCTGTGCTGCCGGGGCGGCGGCGTACCGCCTCCACCCCCGGCCTCAGGCCGGCTCTTGGCTTTCCTCCCTCGCAAAGTTAAGAAAAAACATCAAAAGCTGCTAAATCGAAAACACAAATAAGGAACTAAAGTCCAGAAACCGCGGTGAGTCCCATGACGAGGTGGACTGTGGGATTTTCGGGCAAAGCTCACTTCCGACCGAGTGGATTGGCCCAACGAAGTCCAAACTTGTTGTTTACCACTAGAATGGCCCAGACCCAAAATGAAATACAGTATATAAAGTCCATGAACTTCAGTGAGTTACTTTGTGTTTTTGGTGCCCCTGATTTGTTTCAAAGGAGTGACTTGGGCAGATGTTACTGGTGCGGCGGTCAGTGCCGACTTTAATAGGGTTGTGACTTGGGGGGAGTTTGGTGGCTTCATAGATGTTTGATCATTAAGTTGTTTAGTGACGTCATTGGATTTAGTGACTTAGTCGTTTCGCGGCGCTGTAGAGTTTAGTGGGTTGATGGTTTGGCGACCTCGTAGATGTCAAGCTGTTTGAAGGTTTAGTGAGTTGATTGGTTTGAGCGTGGCAAAAGGAACTGGTGGTTTGGTGACTTTGGCAGACCAGTCTCGTTGTAGAGTTTAGTGTTGGCCGTGATTCGACCCACCAGAAACCATCTGACCGCGCCACAAGGGCAGGCAATTGGGTTTTTGGACTGGCTCTGTTCGGGTTGCCACTACCCGAGCGGGGAAGGTCTCAACCGATTGAAATACAGAAGACTATTTGGACCAGCTGGAAATGGAAGAGCGATTGTTTTGACAAAGGGAAACAAGTATGTCACTATGACATCTGTCCATCGCTTAGCGCATAGGTAAACACATGCAGCAAAGTAGTGGTTGAGAACCAACAGTTTCGATTGCGCCCGCCCGCCATATCCATGGATCCAGGCGAGCCGAGCCCGCAGAGGAAGAAGCGCCTTGGCAGACTTCGGATCAAGCCAAACAGCCCCCTTGCCCTTTGGCAACGCGTGTTGAAGTTTTTGTTGATGGGGGACCGGGCTTTGGGGGTGTCTTCACAAACAAGCCGCCCCCATTTGGGAATATGCCGAACTTGTTCCAAAAGGTGTGGCAAACTCAACACCCACCCAAATCCACCCACCCAACCCACCAAACCCCATCCAAAGCCACCCAAACCAACCCACCCAAGCCCAACCATGCGGGGTCCCGACCGAGGCTGCGGGAGTATGGCACCAAGGCCCGGCTCCGCGGCAGCATAAGGAGCCGCCACTCCAGACTTCCGTATTTCAGTCCTGGCGAGTGACTTTGACACCGAACTGCGGTGGCCCATAGCCACTGGAGCGTTGACAGAGCCGACAGCAGAGATTTGGTGCGACTTCCTTCAATTTGAGAGAGACGCCGCGATCTTTTATGTTGTCAAGTTCCGCAGTTTTCTCAGCTCTTGCCGATCGAAGAGGGCCGTCGCATGCTTATTGCTTTCATTTGCTTCCTGGCTAAGGTCAGACTCGCCTTCTGGCAAGAAACGGGGTGAGAAGGACCGCCCTGACCATATCCATCAGTCTGATCTGATCTAGCAGCCCTTGTTGCTGCCATGGTGGCCATGTTGTGATTTGACAATGTTGGAGACCGCCTCCAGGTCTTTTTCCCTGGAATGTGGTAGGCGAGTAATGTCATGTGACATGTTTAAGTTTCGGTGACGTGCTACTATTCTTGCCTGCAGGTGGGCCGCTGGATTCGAGCCCAACTCAGCTCATGTCGTATTGTGTGTGTGTGTGATGTGTGCGTTTGTGAGTGTGTCTGTGTTTGTGTCCGTGTCTGTGTCTGTGTCTGTGGCTGTGGGTGCGTGCTTGGGTGGGTGGGTGGGTGGGTGGGTGGGTGGGTGGGTGTCTGTGTGTGTCTGTGTGTGTCTGTGTGTGTCTGTGTGTGTCTGTGTGTCTCTGTTGTGTCTCTGTTGTGTCTCTGTTGTGTCTCTGTTGTGTCTCTGTTGTGTCTCTGTTGTGTCTCTGTTGTGTCTCTGTTGTGTCTCTGTTGTGTCTCTGTTGTGTCTCTGTTGTGTCTCTGTTGTGTCTCTGTCTCTGTTGTGTCTCTGTTGTGTCTCTGTTGTGTCTCTGTTGTGTCTCTGTTGTGTCTCTGTTGTGTCTCTGTTGTGTCTCTGTTGTGTCTCTGTTGTGTCTCTGTTGTGTCTCTGTTGTGTCTCTGTTGTGTCTCTGTTGTGTCTCTGTTGTGTCTCTGTTGTGTCTCTGTTGTGTCTCTGTTGTGTCTCTGTTGTGTCTCTGTTGTGTCTCTGTTGTGTCTCTGTTGTGTTGTGTCTCTGTTGTGTCTCTGTTGTGTCTCTGTTGTGTCTCTGTTGTGTCTCTGTTGTGTCTCTGTTGTGTCTCTGTTGTGTGTCTGTTGTGTGTCTGTTGTGTGTCTGTTGTGTGTCTGTTGTGTGTCTGTTGTGTGTCTGTGTGTGTCTGTGTGTGTGTGTGTCTGTGTGTCTGTGTGTCTGTGTGTCTGTGTGTCTGTGTGTCTGTCTGTGTGTCTGTGTGTCTGTGTGTCTGTGTGTCTGTGTGTCTGTGTGTCTGTGTGTCTGTGTGTCTGTGTGTCTGTGTGTGTCTGTGTGTCTGTGTGTGTGTGTGTCTGTGTGTCTGTGTGTCTGTGTGTCTGTGTGTCTGTGTGTCTGTGTGTCTGTGTGTCTGTGTGTCTGTGTGTCTGTGTGTCTGTGTGTCTGTGTGTGTGTGTCTGTGTGTCTGTGTGTCTGTGTGTCTGTGTGTCTGTGTGTCTGTGTGTCTGTGTGTCTGTGTGTCTGTGTGTCTGTGTGTCTGTGTGTCTGTGTGTCTGTGGTCTGTGTGTCTGTGTGTCTGTGTGTCTGTGTGTCTGTGTGTCTGTGTGTCTGTGTGTCTGTGTGTCTGTGTGTCTGTGTGTCTGTGTGTCTGTGTGTCTGTGTGTCTGTGTGTCTGTGTGTCTGTGTGTCTGTGTGTCTGTGTCTGTGTGTCTGTGTGTCTGTGTGTCTGTGTGTCTGTGTGTCTGTGTGTCTGTGTGTCTGTGTGTCTGTGTGTCTGTGTGTCTGTGTGTCTGTGTGTCTGTGTGTCTGTGTGTCTGTGTGTCTGTGTGTCTGTGGGTCTGTGGGTCTGTGTGTCTGCGTGTCTGTGGGTCTGTGGGTCTGTGGGTCTGTGGGTCTGTGGGTCTGTTGGTCTGTTGGTCTGCGGGTCTATGTGTCTGTGTGTCTTTTGGTCTGTTGTGTCTGTGTGTCTGTGTGTCTGTGTGTCTGTGTGTCTGTGTGTCTGTGTGTCTGTGTGTCTGTGTGTCTGTGTGTCTGTGTGTCTGTGGGTCTGTGTCTGTGTGTCTGTGTGTCTGTGTGTCTGTGTGTCTGTGTGTCTGTGTGTCTGTGTGTCTGTGTGTCTGTGTGTCTGTGTGTCTGTGTGTCTGCGTGTCTGTGTGTCTGTGTGTCTGTGTGTCTGTGTGTCTGTGTGTCTGTGTGTCTATGTGTCTGTGTGTCTGTGTGTCTGTGTGTTTGTGTGTCTGTGTGTCTGTGTGTCTGTGGGTTTGTGTGTCTGTGTGTTTCTGTGTGTGTCTGTGTGTCTGTGTGTCTGTGTGTCTGTGGGTTTGTGTGTCTGTGCGTGTCTGTGTGTGTCTGTGTGTCTGTGTGTCTGTGTTGCGTTTGTTTGCGGCAAGTAGGCTAAATAGCGGCAAGCGCTCTTACCAAAGCTTGAAGCCTTGCCTCTCCAGGAAGGCGAGGCTAGCGAGACGAAAGCGGAGCCGGAGCCTGCGTCCTCTTCCCAGGAGAGGGTGCAGATGACCCTTCGGGGGGGGGGGGTCCGGTTTTTCCAATGTTTTCCCCCTTGTCAGTTCTTGGAAGAGTTGCCTTTGTGAAAAGGACCGCCAAAAAAAGGGCCAAACGCAATCCAAATACTCGCAGGGGGGCATGGCGCTAGCCGAGGAATCAGGAATCCCACTTCGGTTTGACAGAATCAGGGGACATTCGCACCCCCCTGCCCCCCTTCTTCAATTTTGGAAGCTTTTGATTGGTGCGAGGACGTGCCCGAAAAGGAGGACTGAGCCAGTTGGGAGATTCAGCAGCCAAGGGGCGCCGAATGGTGCCCGTGCTGACGTGCAGTTTGGTCAGTAAAATTTCGCGGCGGGGAAACGCCGATAGCAATGAGCTGTGCCTAAAGCGTATGGCAAGGTTCCAAAGCTGCAAGATACTGTGGGCAGAAATCCTGCAGTTGGTAGGTTTTTCTCCGCATGTATTTCATCATGTTTCATTCCATCCTTACTGATGCCAGGGTGCGAAATGGATTTGGTCCATGCACAGTATTGCAAGAGCTTAGGGCTGACTCTGGGGGAAGCCCTTTCAAAGACCAAGCCGCAAAGCCGCTAGCCGGCTATGGCCACCAGATGGGGGCGTGTGGAAAAAAACGCATGGGAGACATGCCTCTCACGAGCGGACTCCACTTGAGCTTTGCAGCCACGTGGGAAGTCAAAGTGCCCTCCCTTGTTTCTTGGCTCTTGGGTTTGACCTTACATCTGTTTTTGCATTGTCTAAGTTTCCCCATGTCCTCCATGCTAGCAACAGGCTTTAAGGGAAGCCAACAGCGGTTGTTTAACCGGGTATGTGTCAAAATAGGGCAACACACCCGAACATGCGGGGGTTTCCGGTTGACTTCCCTTGAAACCAACCCAAGAAAAGGGCAGCCTCAGCAAAAGCACAAGTGACAGGTGTGGGGTGAACTCTCCTTGCGGCCATTGGTCATTAGTTAGAGGACAACTCTTAAGATATCACCCGTGCGCTGTGCTCTCGTTGTTCACTCGGCTCGAGGTGATGAACAGAACATGCCTGGACCCCTGAAGGGGGCAGAGAGAACACTTCTTGGTTTCAAGCTTGTGTTTGCCCAGGGCTTTGCAGAAACATCACTGGCCGGCCACTAACTTCCAGATTTGCGCGCAGGCCCATCCACAGACAGCCACAACAAAGCCCACAAACCACCACCCACCTGCAAATCCCAGATTCACCGGCTTGGCCATCAGCATTTGTTTGCAGCCGAAAGGCACCCCGCACATTTCGAGCCATGAACAACTCAGACTTCCAGCGCCTGCTCACCACCGATGACAGGCCTTGCATCCTTCAGACTCGCGAGTTGCGAGTCTAGATGTCTGGCCAGGTCACTGGTGCAGGAGCTGACCAAGAAGAGAGGCCGGGGAGCGGCAAGAATGGGCGTGGCCAATGGCCCCTGTGAGTCTCGACATTGGGTGATTCGCCAGCGCGAATCACGTGGCGTCCTTGCCTGGTTTTGGTCGACCCCCCTTGCCAGGTGGTGCATCTAGGGGAAAGGGCGGTGGCAAAGGCGGGGGCAAAGGCAAAGATGAGAAGGCCATCGCCCGGATTGCGCGCCTTGGTGCGGGCAGCTTGCGAAGGAAGAAGAGCGCAAGCTCCTGTCAGCCTGTTCGTTCATACCCAAACGCCATGTTTTAGGGATCTTTCGGCCATTGAAATGCAGCGTGCTTATTTGCTTACGATGGTTAAAATCGGTGCTAAATTTATTCGGATGAATAATTTCGCCCATGTGGAAAGTAACTGATTGAATTCATTTCACTGGGGCCGAGGAGAGCAAACAAGTACAAGCAGAAGGCTGCCGACAAAGAGGCGAAGGACCGGAAAGAAGTGAAATGAGTTGTTCACAGGTGAGGACCCATGAGGCTGCATGCAATTTGCGCCTTACTAAGAGGGCGCGGACTTTTGGGTGGGGCCCTCTTTCAATCTTTTCTCCTTGTATTTTATTTGAGGGCGTTTTCCTTCAAAATCAAGCGACCCAGAAGAGGGTCCTTTTTGTTCCCCTGAACAATTGTTGGAGGTCTGGGCTGGGGAAATCCGAAGCCACAGTTTACACAAGATCGCTGGTGCTGCCAGTGAAGATCAAGTTCCAGGGATGGAGCTGACACTGCTCTCTTACATGTTCACAAGGATTCAGAGCCCGAGCAAGCGCCTAAGGCTCACCTTCGTCAGAAAAAGTCGTAATTTGCTCATCCCCCAGGTGGTTTGTGTCTTTTGGCTTTCTGCCATCTGGTGCCAACTTGCGGCCCCTGCCCCATTAAGCCAACTAGTATTAGGCGCAACCCTTTGAGTACTCCTTTGCCAGTATCGTGGAACCCAGAAAGGGCGGGGGTCAAAATGTCGGACCTCGAAAATGGTGGTGTTCCTTTCGGCCTCTTTAAACCAAGAGGTCAAGGGTACCCTCCAAGAAAACCTAAGCCCAAAGGGCTTCTCGGGCACGTCAGTCAATGGGGGAGCACCCCACCAGGACGCGGAGGAGAGCAAGTACCGGGACCGTGCCTTGGAGCGGAGAGACCTCAAGAACGAGTATGCCCCTCGTCAGTGGGAGGGGGGGAGGGAAAGCTGATCTCTGCCTACATGGCAAGCTTGGGGCAGAATGTTGCTGGACCTTCTTCACCTTTGGCACCTTTTGCCTTCTGGGTTTGCATCAACTTCCCTTTCAACCAGCAAAAGCCTGACTTGTGGCTAAAAGTCTGGTCCAGTTTCATGGCGGGCTAGGGGACACAATGGGCCAACACAAACAGGTCCGTTGCTTGGGCATCCAATTATTTTACTTCAGGCCTTGGATTCCTGGCAACCACTGAGGATACAAGACCAGAACATGCCAAGTTATGGCAACACGTTGCGGATGCATCCCTTTGCCCTTGGCTGAAACGATGAAACGGGAGCTTTGTCAAGTGAAAGCCAGGAGAAGGTCGCCGCAGAGTTCGAGAACCACGGGGAGGTGTCCGTGGAGCAGTCCAAGTACCTCGGAGGCGCGGAAGTCGTGAAGCCTCGAGGGAGAACGTCGAAGGTGATCGCAGGGTTGGGTCAGGCCCTGGCCCTCACGGCTTCATTTTGATCATGTTTGTTCCCTCTGCATGTGGGATGTGGAGCCAGGCGATCTGGACCACACGCATTTGGTGAAGGGCTTGGATTTTGCGCTTCTGAACAAAGTGCGGGCGGAGCTGAACAAGAAGAAGCCCAGTTGCAGCCAGCGGTTTCCAGAGTTTCTGACTCCTTTCTCCCAGCTTTGCTTTAATTTGTTTTAGGTGGGATTCCCTTGCAAACGGCCAATGCTCACTGCGGGATTTCTTCGAAGGCATTTGCTGTCAGCAAGATTGTCCCTTTTCTGGAACCTCTTTTGACATGATAGACGCAGCTACCTCCCAAAGTTGCGTAGTTTTCCTTTCAGAAGCCGCCAAAAATGGCACCATGCAGAAGCGAGACAACGATTCGCCCCATGGGAAGCCCCTAGGAAGAAGGTCGAGGAGCATCAGCAGCTTGGCAAAAACCAGTGATTCCGGGCTTCCTGCTGGTCGTGTGCAGCTGTGGTTTGGGTGTGTGGCTGTTGGGTGGTTCTTGGGCGGGCTAGTGGTATGTCGTGGGAGATGCTGTATGAACCTGAAACTTCGGAGCAGCCACCAGCCCCAGAAGAAACCCGGTTTGGCCATTGTAAGGGGGGCTTGCCAACTCCCCCCCCCAAAAAAAAAACAACAACTTCAAGCCTTGCTTGGCCCCAGCACAAATTTGAGGCAAGCTGAGTCGAGAGTAAATGGAAAACTGCTTTGAGTCACCGATTGCCATTGTTGAGATTTGCTGTCGCCCAGTTGGCTCAAACTTGTCGACTCCGATGTTGGATCCACCTCAGGCAGGCAAAGCAGCAGCAGAAGAAGCCGGGGGAGAAGGGAAAGCGTACTTTCGAGACCCGCCTCGCCGCTTTGGCAAATTGAGCCTGGCGCAGCCCATTGACCCCAGCTCCATTGATAGGTCAGGTTGAAAAAGACAAGGAGGCTAACATCGTGGGAGGGGGGGTGCCCGTGCAACCTGAAAGGAGCAAACTGGCCTTTGACAAAACAACTAGGACCCTTCAAACAACCCAAGAAGGACTCATGCAAGCGTTCTTAGAACGGCCCCTAATGCTTCGCCTACGAATCCGTGTTTTTTTGGTTTCGGAATTTTCAGCGTGCGATTCGCCCACGGGACACCTCCAAGGCAAAGAATGTGTGGCTCAGTGTGGTGGAGACGCTCCACCCTCACCACAGCACCTTCAAGGACAGGGAGAACAGGGCCGGCGGACCGGCGGGGTCTTTTTGTGAGGGGTTCCTCTACTTTGAGATAGAACCGTTTGTTTAGAGGACCGTTTGCCGAGTCCAACACAAGCATGCCCGTTCACTTCCTGAAAGGCAGCCTGGCTGGGTGATTGCCATCTCAGCTCAGAGGATTCTAGTGTTGTGGGGTGATGATCATCTTCCTGTCCAGCACTGGAGGCAACATGGGAGACAGTTGTTGTTTGAACATCCCTTTGCGGGCCCACTGGGGAATCTTGCCATCTGCTGAACTGTTCCAAACTCTTGGTGGGGGCCGGGGGTCAGATCAAGGGGTGCAGTCAGGAGCGCGTGCAGAAGATGGGCAAGGCCATCGCACAGGCGCCCACGAGGAGTTGACACATTTGTGAAGACCCCGAAGAATGTTGTTTTTCTTCTGGATTTTCCTTTGAACCAACCTAAAAAAAACGTACCCTCAAAAAGAACCCGCACCTACAAAATTGCTCCGGGCGTTCAATACACTCGCCTATTTTATAATTCCGAGCTCAAGCGAATTTAGCGACCTCATTGCTGGTCCTTCAAAAAGGGATCCAGGCCTTTTATCAGGTCAAAGGATACGTAAAGGGAAACATTGTAATTACACGGCGTCCTTCGGTTTCCATGGGCCTCGTGTGACTTGAAGGTCTTCAGGATTGGGACTCGGGACCCCTCATTTTGAGCCACCCGTGCGTTTTAAACACCAGGTGTGCAGACAGACAGACAGACGGCCCCTGCGTAGTCCAAAACCACTCGGCGCCAGGGGCACCGCATCCGGAACGCGCCCAGCACCTTCCTGCCGGGGCGCATGGCCTTCGAGTTCGACACGGACCTGGAGATGGGGAAGACGGACATCCCGCGGATCGTGTACATGAGCAAGGAGGACTCAACCCCTCCGGTCTCTGCGCTTCCCGGGCCTATAGCCCCGGGAAGCTCTTTCATGTCTTTCCCTTTTTTTTTTGGGGGGGGGTGGGGGTGGGGGGATTGTTCTATTTGGCACCGCTCTATCAGTTTTCAAGGTGTGTATATCGAGCACTGCAATTAAGGGGCTTTTTTGTTTGTTTAGAAGGGTCAGGCATTGCAGTTTCATGGCGGACGTCTTAGATGGTGCAATGCTTTGGTCAAGCCCCAAAAGGTCAACCGCAATCATCCAGCTGGTCCTTTCCAAGAAGTCCAGAGGAGATTGCCCCGGGAGAGCGCATCAAGACCACCTCCGGCATGCTGCCGGAGACTGCCGTCCGGGTGCTTTGCCTGCAAAGCGGCCCCACAAATGGCGATTCGTTGTCCCCCATAGTTCGCACCCCTTGAGCATGCCGGGATCCTCAAATGTTCCGTAGATCAAAATCTTACATAGCAGTTTCGTAGCTGATTTACAAGGATTTCCAACAAACTCATTGGCTCTTGTCATGCCGTAATGGTCGGGGCGAAGGGGTCACCACGTTGTCCGAGTCCGAAATTGCGAACAGGGGACCGTGCCTCTCCCCTTCTGAAGCAGCCTCCCAAAAGCAAAAGGAAGTGGACAAATCCCATAGCTCTGGACTCATACGGGCATCCTTGTTGGAAAATTCCAGCATGGGGTCCTGACAACCAGGTTGTCATAGGATTCCCCGCTTTCTGAGCTTGAAAATTGTTTGGTAATCTCTATTCAGCCAAGGGCTTCCGTATTTCTGATGTGGTGGTTTAGAAGCACAACTTGTCGCGCCAGCTTGCTTTGGGTGAGGCTTGCTGGGGTGGATTCAGGATATTTTGCATCATAACTTTGAGTAAACAGGAAGGACACATTCGGCTCAGGTCCGGAACGCCATGCAGAAGGCCGCGGACGACCGGAAGAAGCGGAAGGAGCAGAAGAGCATAGGAGGCCCAGTTGAGGTTGGGTGGATGGGGCGGTGCAGTTGAGGTTCTGTTTGAGTTTGTTGGTGGTGGATATTGCAAGATGTACTTGGTAGTGTTTGCTTTTTTGTGTCATGATTTGCCATTCCTGAGCCGCTTGTGGCACTGATCGGTCCGAAATGCCACGTGAAAGCAAGGGGACGCTCAGCGCTGGAAGGCTTGTTGAGCTTCAGCTTTTGGCGCAAATTACCTGGAGATGACCACATCGGCCAGCGGGCGCGTTCTTGGGGACACCCCCCATGGGCGTGTTCTTGCAATCCGCACCTCAAGGGGCAAGAACACCCATTGGCACCGTCACACTCCGGAGCCGACCGTCCAACATAGAGACATACCAAAGGGATATGGCCCTCAATGGCCCTTCATGGCTAGTCACTAGTCACTAGTCACTACCAGTCACTGCCAGGTTGCAGGGTCTCCCCTTGCGAGTTGGCTCTCCAGTAGAGATGAAACGGCCAGGGTCCAGCTACACGCTGGCGCAGAAGGTGGATGTGCCCAAGGTCAAGGCGCGCCATGAACAAGCCGCCGCCGAAATCGCAAGCTTTTCGATTTCTGGGGCAACGAGCGAACACCTGTGGTCCTTATTTAGAAAGGACATGGATCCCATTCTTAGGCCAAGTTGTGGTATTGTAGATTTTCCGGTGAAAGGCTGCTAATTTGTGTAACACTTGTTTGGCGATAGGGCCGCATGGTCATGCCATTTCACAACTGCTTAAAATGGAGGTTTGGGAACAGCAGGTCTTGAATAGTTGTTTGTTTGTTTCTTTCGGGGCACCGCTGCAACTCTTTCTCTTAGTCATTTGTTGCGCATGAGCATGTTAATTATGAGATTCATCAGGGTCAGCAATATTGGCAAGCCCCCCATTCGATCTTTTTAAAATGGAGGGCTGAATTTTCAAGTTTGAAATGCGTGGGAAGCAACTTGAAAGATGACTCCTTTCCGTGTATCGAAGGTTCGCACGCCCAGCCCTCACTGCCGCAAAACTACCAGCTTTACAGGTTGCCATCCAAACGATCTTCCCAAACAAGAAACTTGGAAAGTGAGGTAGGCCAGCAGCAGTCAATATTTATATTCGTTCATTTTGCCCCCTCCCCGAACAACGTTGGTCATGAATCATGTCGAGCTATGCCATGCCAAAATCGTTGGATCTTGGCAAGTGTAAAGTGCAGCTGGCTCTGCCTTATTCTTGGGCCCTAAAACTGTGACTAGAACCCGCGGCTTCGCCTTGGCGCGCCGCACGGCCGGGGAGACCTAAGCAGTTAGGGAGGGCGGACGGGCTCTTGAGTTTGTTCGATTTTCCCTTGTGGGCAAGCGGTTTCATATGATGATCCCGCTTGGGGGGAGACACCGTTCCCTGTTTTCGGCGGGGCATTTCTGCGCAGAGACGTCGCAGAGACGTCGGGGGCGCGAGTCGAAACCCCGGAGGCCCGGGACAGCGACGACATCTTCGGGGGCGTGGGGAAGTTCAACGTGGAAGCCGCTGCGATGAAGTGGGAGGTGGCCTGCCCGGGCCCAGGGTACGCGCCACTGGGTTTGTTTTTTGATGGAAATGAAGGGGGGGCGATTCCTTGTTTGGTTCAGTCTGCTTTGGGGACGTAACAAGTGGAACCCTTGTTTGGTGAAGTCTGAGGCTTGTGGTAGGCTCACAAAGGAAACATCCTTCAACCTGCAAAGCGGAAAGGCGATCGAGAGACCTGGAGCTCTTTTAGGCCGCTTTTCGGTTGGGCGAAGAAGGGCACACATTGGTCAAAAGGTGTCAGGCAGACCGTGTCCAGGGGGCTTCTGCCAGCTCTTTCCGCACCTGCAAGTCACAGTTCATGGGCCCTGCTGTTTCCATGCGGCGATTTAAGCAAGACTCGTTGGTTGACATCTTGAAGTTAGTTTCCTTTCGTTGGGTTTAGTGATGTTTTAGCCAGGGAACCCCAACATCGTTGAACATTGCCTTATGGCGCACCAACTCCAACAAACCGGCACCCCCAAATCACATGTTTTCCTTTGGCCTTGGTCCAAGGAGTTTGTCCAGAAGGCTCGGGCAGAACAAGCGGCGAAGCGCGAGAAGCTTGGCATCAAGGAGGAAGTCAAGGAGGAGATCAAGGAGGAGAAGGAGGAGGTGGGGATCCTTTTGTCTCACTCCCGGTTTCTCACTCTGTCACCCGTTTTGTGCCTGGCAAACTTTGATTCCCTCCCTTCATCGAAGCACATTTCATTCAGAAACCCACTTCCCCCCAACATTTCTTGGTTCAACAACCTGAGGAGGTCAATCCGGAAGACAGCGGCCGGAGATGGTTGACAAGTCGTCCCAAAGCGACATTTCGGGTTTGCCACGTGTGCTTCGTCGAGGCTTTCGTTTAAAGCGGGGGGACCTCGTGAGTTGCGATTGGCTTTTGTTGCACCCCACGAGGCGCATCGGGCGGGGGGGGGGGGGTGGGGGTCTTGTTCGCGAGGTGAAGAAGGCAAAGAAGGAGCCAAAGGCAGGGAAACCGGCAAGGGGCTTATCCAGCTGGAGCGCCGGATTGGGGTGCAACAAATTTCAGATTGTCACAATTCTGTTTTAAACCAATTTGCCAGATTGAATTTGCTTTGCTCAAACTCTAAGCTACATTTGCACTTGGTCTCTTCATCATGTCAGTGAATGAGCTTAAAAATGCGCGGGCGGTCAGCTCACTTTTTTGTTTTAGCCAATTGGAAGCACCAGGCTCGTCGCACAGTGGGTTCCAGGCCACTCGTTCCTGGGTTTGTGGTGCTGGACACAAACTCCGGCACATAGGCTGGCCTTTGACCAGCTTTTCCTTTGGTACTGCCAGGGAGCACGCTGGGCTGCCCCGAAAGACGACCGAACCGCATGTTCAGGGAGCCCTTAATTGGTGGTCCGGGTTCGGAGTGGTGGTTTGGGAATTTGAGGTCCTGGCTGTTGTGGAGTGTCAATGAGGAACCTCCAAACATGCCCAACCACCAATCCACATCGCCAAACCACCGGCCACCTGCGGCTTTCCGAGGCGAAGGCGTCCTACTTTGACGACGCCGGGGATGAGAAGTACAGCGCCTCGGCCCGTTTTTTGGACGACGCCGGTGTGGAATGCTCGAACTGGACCCCAGCCAAAGAAGCAAACAGCTCGATATGTGGAGGGTGGCCGGGTCCCGAGGTTGCCCTTTGGTGTCAAGCCTAGGTTCCCGTTGGGTCGGGGTGATGCTTGATGCGCAAGTGCGAGCTCGACGCTCGCGGGCACGTTTCCTCCAGACTTCCAGGCTTGCCGAAGGGGCCATAGGAGCCTCAAGGGGGCCAACGCGGGACATGTTTGCCATACCAACCTTCTCCCCTTCACGAGGAAAAGCGCCAGACCGGCAGCTGAACCTGGACGAGATCGAAGTAGAGGCGGGCACTGGGGCATCGCTCAAGTTAAACCTGACCCCTTGAAGCAGAAGGCAATGGAGCCCTTTGTTTTCTTTTACCTTTGCAGTCGGCCTTAAGGCTCCTCTCTGCAATTCAGACGTTTGAGGCTCGAAAAAAACGGGCCTGGCCCACGAGCTTGCAAATGAGCTCCCAGCGCAGACGGCCAAAACACCAACATTCGGAGCTGCCTCAAAGCCAAGATTTGCTGAGACCCCATTGCTGCCGCTGCCGGTAAACCGGATCCCGGACCTCCAAAAACTCTCAAGGTTCCCATGCCCCCCCCCCTCCCCATGCCAAGCACGAACAAGATACTCCAGCAGACCAACACTTACCTGCCCCAGTTTCGACCTTGTAATTGCTTCCACCAGAAAGAAATAAGTGCGGCCCCCCGCATTAATCAATATTGGGTCAAGGGTAAACAATATTTACTAATGGGGCAATTGGGGGTCGACCGGATTTCCTCTTCGGTTCTCGTCCAAATACGGTCCCCCCCCTTTCCCGGGCACGAAAACCGTCGAAATTGCAATTTCCGAGTACCGATTTTAAAGAACACTATTCAAGGTTGTTTTTGTTCGTTTTGCGGTTCAAAAGTACACGACAAATTATATTTGGAACTACATTAATGAACCATACTGACATTAGCAAAAGGGTGAATATCAAGTTTAGAGTTTAATTTAACACATGTGCTGGAATACCCCCAACTATGACTGGTGGCGGGATTGGCTCGAAATCGGCAGGTTCAGTATTTGTGTATTCTAACAGTTGTATTGGGGCATGCGAGGGTCTGGGAAAAACGATGTGCATTCATAAGGTGCATTATATAGTCAGGTACCCCCTGATTTGCTGCAGGAGGCGGGGCTGGAGCCGGGCCAGTTCCACAAGCCCACGGGTCGGTTCATGGCCAGCAGCCGCTTCAAGGGCGCCCGCCCTTCGGTTTTCGATTTCGGCGCGAGTGGAGTGGGGTGGGAGAGGGTCGCGGACGCGCTTTTGAAGTTTGGGCGGGAAGACGGAACCAAAATTCCAAAGGGAGGCCTCTTTGATCTCCGCATAGGTGAGGTTTGGAGTGTGTCACTCTACTTGGTGGCTTTTTGGCTGGGGCAGCCATTGATTTGTGGTTTGCATTGGCGGCTTGATGGGTGTCGAGCCCTTTCCTAAGTCAGGGCCTCGAAGGGAGTAGCGGCTGCTTGGAAGGCACGACCTCACACAAGGAACTTTGACAAATTTGAGGGCCAGATGCGAGATCCATCCCAATGCATGGAAGGGAGAGCGTAAACTGGCCCGAGCTTTTCCCAGGTGGGGATCAAGGTTCTGTCAGGCGTGCGTGTCTCCGAATTGGCCTTCTCGCTTGGCCCACTCGCGTTCAGGTTCCGATCGACTGTTTGACTCGGCAACCCAGGGTCTAAGTAGACTGCAGCCATTGAGGTCGAGGCTGTGACCACCCAATCTTTCCGCCCACCGGTCTTTGTAGGAACTACCCAGTTCCCCTGAGCAGGTTGTTGCTTCAATCGATGTGTCGCTATCTTAACCATTTATATGTTCGACCCCGCGGCAGAGCACGAGGTACATCCCGAAGAGCAGGGGGGTTCCTCAGAAACTCGTTTGGATGCCTGATGTCAGTCCCCTCCCCAACAGCGAATTTGGCCCAAGGGTTCCAAAGTTGTAAAGCCAACATGCAATAGGTTAGGCTAATACTTGGAGGGAGGCAACCTGCTCAGAGCTGAAAAGCTCTGCTCAGATTTCTGGCGCCTTGCGCCTTGCCTTTGCGCCGAGCCAAGGCAAGAACTGGGTCTTCAAGCTCGGGGAACTTGGCCTGGGCTACTACGAGGCCGGAGGGCGGAAGCTGGAGACTGGGAGCATAGGGACACCCCAAGGGCCAAAAGCGAAGCGCAAGACACGGGTGAATACGTGTTCCGCGGTTTTCCGGTTCCGTACCTGGCCCCGGAAGATATGATTTTAATTGAGAGGTCAGCTCAACTTTTGAGGATGCCACGCAAGTTGCCGCTACGGGCTTGGAAACAACACACACGGGGGGTGGAGGGTTTGTTTTTTTGCTGGTCCGCCTTGTCACGGTGGCAAACCAGTTGGGCCGACCCGCTTTGAGATGTTTTAAACCACCAAACTGTTTGAACAACTTATTGATTTGCCATATGGGTGTTGTCCAGCTCCATTTGGGACGCCTGTTTGCAAAAGTCAACCCCCCATGTAGTCAAGTCAAGCCACACCTTTTTCAAGCCAAACCATCCTTACTTAGTTGAGGTCCCAAGGGTACGGAGGATTTGTTGGAACAACAAGTCCGCGGCAGTGACAGGCTTCAGGGTTCCTGCTGCAAACATCGCCCAAGACCCATCTTTTCCAACCGGAAGGCCCCTCCCCTCATTTGTTAAAACTATGCACCTCGCAGCAACTCAAAGCCTTCAGATGCCCCCTTATGGCAGACATATTGTCACTTATGCTTCTTAGATTGCGGGTATATGCAAAGGCGCTTGGGCCAGATACGGGTTAGATACTATCAGGGATATGTGAACAGCAACGGTGGCTAGGGCACACCTCTGCAAACAGCGTCAACCTATGGATAAGAGATGATTTGAGCATCTAGGTGCAGTAGTTAAGGTCGAGGGCTGAATGCATACGCTTCATGGCCATGGGTAGGCCTCTTTGGTGACCGCTTGCCCGTTGCTAATCCATGTGGCCAAGGCATCATCAGAACTAAGGGATCAGATACATCCCCTTCGCATCAGCTGGGATGGATGACTTGTTCCCAAGTGCTGTGTGGCTCGAAGTGCGGTCGTTGATTCGCATCTCCGGTGCTTTTTCCCTCGAGCTGATGAGGTGTTTTTGTGCCCCAGCCCCCGAGCGCCAGGAAGTGCAGCCAAAGGGAGCAGCGAAGCCCAAGCCCAAGGCCAAGGAGCAACTCAAAGATTCTGACGGCAGAGGTGGGGGGAAGGGGGTGGGGGTAGGAATGCTGAGGCGTTTTTGTTTCTCCTTAAAAAAAAAAAAAACATGTTTCTTCTGTGTTGTTCGTGTTTTTTTTTGGGCGGTTGTTTTTTTGCGCCTTCGGCGTTCGGTTTGGTCTTGGTGCTGTGGGTGATTGTTTCCGTTCACCCCCTCGGAGGCTACGACGCCTACGACGAGCTCTTCCCCAGCTCCATGACAGGAGGCGCCATGATGACCACCCAGAGCGACGACAGCGACGAGGAAGAGGGCAACTTGACGGCGACGTCGGATTGGATCCAGTGCTTAGTTTGGTGAGTGAATTAGAGTGGTACCCATTGGGGTAAGAGTCATTGCTTGTTGGATTCTTAACTTTTTGGTTGAACGTGATGATCTTCCTACTCACCTGCAAAAAGTGGTCTACTTTCCGGGCTTCTTGCCATCAAGGCAAGAAGAAGAAGAAGAAGGGTGCCGACAAGAAGAAGGGCGTCAACGAGGACAGGCACCAACGGTTTTCATGAGAGGCTCGCCGAAAGCCAGCAAACATTTATGATGTTCACAGTGAGTCCGGCACAGCCTCCGGAGTCAAAAGGCCCCCAACTAGGCGATCCCTTGGATCGTTAAGCCTGGTTTTGGAATTGTTGCATTTTTAGCGAGACTCTTATCTGGTGAGCTGGCAACAACTGGAATAGGCGTTTTCATCCTTTCAGCAAAAGCCCACGAAGTTGAGTTTGTTTCTGGCCAGTCAGCCATTTCAGACGCCGAGAACAGCAAGTACATAAATAGGAACCTGGAGTGGCTGATGTAACGACCTTGTCTGAGTCTTGGCCATTTGGTAGCCCGGTAGCTTATGGCTTTGGAGGATGCTGGAAGGCATCCCGAGCAAACAGCCTTTTTCATCCAAGTTCATTTCCCTCAACGCGGCTCGGGCTAACATAAATTGTTGCTTTCGCCCACTTGCTTCTCAACACGGCACGAGGGGGCCGCGAGTCAAACTCATCAGAAGATGTGTCCGCGTGGTGGCATAGGCGCTGGGATGGCCCGCTTTGCGTTTGCATGTGTGTGTGTGTTGTTTGTGTGTGTGGGTGTTGTTTGTGTGTTTGTGTGTTTGTGCGTTTGTGTGTTTGTGTGTTTGTGTGTTTGTGTGTCTGTGTGTCTGTGTGTCTGTGTGTTTGTCTGTCTGTCTGTCTGTCTGTCTGTTTGTCTGTCTGTCTGCCTGCCTGCCTGCCTGCCTGCCTGCCTGCTGCTGTCTGTCTGTCTGTCTGTCTGTCTGTCTGTCTGTCTGTCTGTCTGTCTGTCCGTCTGTCTGTCTGTCTGTCTGTCTGTCTGTCTGTCTGTCTGTGTTTGTCTGTCTGTCTGTCTGTGTCTGTCTGTCTGTCTGGCTGGCTGGCTGGCTGTCTGTCTGCCTGCCTGCCTGCCTGCCTGCCTGTCTGTCTGTCTGTCTGTCTGTCTGTCTGTCTGTCTGTCTGTCTGTCTGTCTGTCTGTCTGTCTGTCTATGTGTCTGTCTATGTGTCTGTCTATGTGTCTGTCTGTGTGTCTGTCTGTGTGTCTGTCTGTGTGTCTGTCTGTGTGTCTGTCTGTGTGTCTGTCTGTGTGTCTGTCTGTGTGTCTGTGTGTCTGTCTGTGTCTGTGTGTGTGTCTGTGTGCCTGTCTGTGTGTTTGTCTGCGTGTCTGTCTCTGTGTGTCTGTGTCTGTGTCTGTGTCTGTGTCTGTGTCTGTGTCTGTGTCTGTGTCTGTGTCTGTGTCTGTGTCTGTGTCTGTGTCTGTGTCTGTGTCTGTGTCTGTGTCTGTGTCTGTCTTATTTTGAGACATGCTCTTGGCCTTCCGTTGCCGTACCCCAGAGGACAGCGTGGCTGCCAACAAGAAGAGCAGCGCGGCAGAGGCGAAGAAGAGGAAGATGAGCGAAAACCAGCAGTGGCAGAAGATTGACAACATGATCAAGAAGGGCAAGGTGTCCTCCATGGAATCCATGGAGCAGCAAGCCTCCAAGAAGTCCGCATCCTCTAGCTTCAGAGGTGAGAGGGTGAGCTGATCCGCGATGGAAAAGGCTCACTTGGCCAAAAGGGCCGTAGCTGCCACACATCGCCCCTCTTCCCACGGCCCGGACCTCGCAGCGGCGCTCGCTCGGGCGTGCGCCTGTTGGCGCCCAAAGTGTGGAGGTGCCTTCAGGAGGGGAAGAAGAAAAGAAGTGTCTTCATGCGCGCTTGCGTCTCGTGATTCCAGGGCGGCCTGGACATGTGGCCTGATAGGCAGCGAACAGCTGACCGGGGATAAAAGGAGCTGGGGACCCCTGGGTTCTTTGGGTTGCATTTTTACTGTAGGCTTTGGACACGGATCCCTGAGATTGAGACGCCCAGAAACTGGTGAGCTGCCGTCTCCTCTTTGTAAATACTCCACCCAAAGGGCCCTCAAAGGGGATACTTCGAGAATGCCGTTGGTGCTGCGCCACTCCGTTCGGCCTTTTTGCTTGCTGACCTCTGCGCTTTTTTCGGCTGGATCTGAGGAATCGATGACTTCAGGCCATCAAATAAAACAAGTTTGGCTTTTGGCTTCTTGCCTCCCAGGCCATACAAACCTTCCAGCTACCCTCCCCCGCCACTGACATGGAACTTGATTGGGTGGCATGCAACAAACGCTTTGCTTGACTTTTTTGGCGTCAAACCAGATCACATCAAGAGGAAGACATTCTGCCGGCCTGGCGGCCGCACGGGGCTGGATGTTTGGTCTGGTCTTGGCCCAGCCGGATGGTGGGGCCCTCAGCCGCGCTGCCCGTTGGCGGGATTCGGGAGAGGACTTGATGAACGACATTCGGCTGGAAAGTATTGGATGCCGATCTTCATCGTAGTCTTTGCAATGTATGTCCGGGAGCCAGCCACGCATTATCCGTGCAAAGCAGTATGTTGCCCCTTGAGCCGGCAAAGTTGCACGCCTTCTTGGGGGTAGGCTTCTCTGTGTTGGCCAAGGCCCGGCAAGTTCAGCTTTTGCAAGGAATTTCAGCAGGTAAACTCAGGCTTTGACCAAACCCAACTTCTAGCTTTCTTCCCGCGTCTTTGGAACAATCCTGAACAGACACTTGTGAAAACACCGGCTTTTCCCAGAGGCGCCGGATGCTCGGTTCAGCAAAAGGCGGCAACTTTCTTGCACCATACCTTAAGCTGCAACCGATTTCTGTGTATTCCGGAAGATGTGTCCCTGACTTTCTTTTTTGGTTCCATTGCCGGACAGCACTCGCCGCATTTTCTCCAAACATGGCGACAAAAGGATCGCCTCGTACTGGCTTGGTGCACTGGCACCAAGCGGGAGGGTAGCCCTGTGAGGCTTGCTCAGTGCACCGCACTGGCGCCAGCGGTCGGGCACCCAGCTGAGTCTCGTCTCAGCTTCGGAAGGCAGCTTTGTTTGCCGCAGACATTGTGTGAAGTGATGGCTGGCATGCGAACCGTGGTCTGAACATAATGTGTGTGTGGCGCTCTGGGGTTGGGCCAAGTTTTCGGGGTGATTTTCGGACGGGGGGCCACTTTCTGTGATACCACCAGGGGAGCAAGCTTTGGAGTGTCATAGTACGCAGATGGGAATCCTGGCGTGGTGGGCGTTTCATGAGTGAGGCGTTCAACACCAGGGCCTCTCAGCTTCCTGAATCCGACATGGATTCACAGATTGCAAGGGTTGGGCAAAAACAAGTCACATTTCAAAGTGGAGGTTGGTAGAACCACAGTTGGTCGCACATGTTTAAACAAGTTGGCCTCTTTCTGATCGATTGACCCAAGGGCCCAAAGGTCTGAGTTCTCCCAGTTTTGTGGGCAGTCTGAGTCCGCTGCTTGGCTTCAAGCGCGGCGAAACGCGCCCGGCGCCACATGGGCGGCGGAGCCGTGATGGTGATGTTGTATTCACCGAAGGGGCAGAGGTTTTGCTTTTTCTCAGCTCAAAAAATGGATGTTGATGTACATGTCCATATAGTTGGCGCGAGCAAGACCTGTTTTCGACAAGCGCGGGCTTGCAGGAAATCAGTTTGCCACTTAACCCTGACAGTTGCGGGCACAGAAACCAACAAAGCACATTCCAGCGGCGGCGAAGACGTCAGCGCGATGGCTTTTGCAATGCCGAAGAGCGGCTCGGCCGGGCTGGTGAGACATTGCGGGAGGGGTCGATACTTTCCCTTTTCAAGGTGTCGGTCTGCTGCATACTTTCGTGTTGGACCCTCTTAAAAGTGACCCTCCTCAACAGTTCCGACTTGTCATTTGGAGGCCTTTTAGAGCAGAAGGGCGGCGGGGGTTGGGTTGGGTTGGGGGGTCTGCGGTCTGAGCTTGGTCAGCATCGTCACTGCTACTAGTGTATTGTTTGTTTGTTTTTGTGTTCTCATTTATTTTTTTTTCCGGGGGGGACTTTCCACAATAGCGAACCCCAAAGCAGTCCCAGGATCCTGAATCAAGAAGATCGTTTCTACCTTGCGGGATCCAAACATGAATACTGCAGCCAAAGCTCTTTGTTGCACCTTCTGCCAAAATACGGGCGGCTGTGCAGTCCCATGGTGGCCTCTCATGCAGCCGCGTCGTGGGCGATTGCAGCGGGGCGGCGAATGAATGTGCACTAATCAGCAACATGAATGCAGACTAGGCAGCTTTGGAGGACACCTATGACTTGCACATGACCCCTTGTCAGGGCAATTGACTGTTGGAGGGTGGGTATGTTTGGAGGAAACATGTGACGCCAAAACCACACATGTCTAGTTGGGTGCTCTTTAGGAAGACCTCCCTTTAGAGTTTCCTTTTCTCATGAACAGTATTTTTATGCGAGTTTCGACAGCTGCCGACCCTCATGCTTTGCGAGAAGCACAACTGAGCTGTATGTAAACAAGCCAATACATCCAAAAGCAGCCTGATCTACATGGGCATCCTCTAAATCAGCTGGTAAAGATGATGTTTCAATTGGCCCAACTGCATCTTCTAAGGGGTCAGGGTTGTGCTTTTTCGGAGTTACCAGAGGCCCCATGTTCCACCCAGGTATGCACACCCTACCCTTGGAATGAAGTAGTCTGACCGTCGCACATTTATCTCTGGTTCTTTCTTTTCTGTCTGTCTGTCTTTCTTTCTTTCCTTCTTTCTTTCTTTCTATTTTTCTATCTTTCTATTTCTCTCTCTCTCTTTCTCTTTCTCTCTTTGTTGACCATGGATTTATTTTTTTATTTTTTTATTTTTTTGCGTTTTGTGTGCCTGCGCGTGGTGTGCATTCCTTCAGCGCTTGCAAGGCTCCTCTTTGGCGTCGGCCACCACGAAGGCGGCGCCGCCGCAGCCGCCGGGGCCGGTGGCCCAGGCGGGCCTCGGGCCTCGAAATTCGGTTCGGTCCGGGGGTTCGGTGGACTTCTTCGACTCTGACTCACTGATTTATATTTTTTTTGGCTATGTGGGGGTGTGGGTGTGGGTGTGGGGGGGTGTGGTGTTGGTTGCTTGGTTTGGCGTTTGGCTCACTGGAAATGATGGCAATTCCAAGGGAGTTTCTCTTTCTACCAGGCTCACTGGGTAACTGCACCTCTTGGATGGCTTGAGCATTTGCGGGCATGTAAATCGATCTGTTTCGTGTACAATCATTGATTACACCAACACCCTTGGGAGGAGGCCAGAAAGGTTTTGTGTTAGCCGGGGGCGAGGAGTTCCATGAGCAATGGCTCCAAGAACATATCATATCCCCCCCCCACCCAGGTCGACCATCCTTTTTTCTACCGAGCTGAGGACGTAGGATTTCATAATCTTACGGCCTCCAAATATCAAATGTGGAGCCTGGAAAGAGGGTTCCTTGAACGTCAAACTTGTCAGTTTGTTTGCTTAAAGTAAACTCCACAACATTTGAAGGAACATCCAGTGAGCAATGTTCACGTCACCACCCCATAAATGGGCCAGTTGCCTCGTCTTGCGTAGGCCCCGGCGCCGTCGGCGCCCGGGCTACTGCCGGTGGGGCGGGTCAAGTCGCGGGGGCCCCGGCGGGTTTTTGGCGACTTCTGCGATGGGCTGAGCTCGGTGACCCGGCGAGGCTGCTCCCTTCTCCGTGATTCCCGGGTTGCATGCTCGAACGGAGAGTTTGTAAGTGGCCTCCTAGGTTGGTGACGCCCGCGAGCTTTTGGGGCCAAAGGCAACGACATATATTCAAAGCAATCATAACTAATTTGGGCAACTAATGGCGGTTTCACACAGTGCGACCTCACCATGAGGACGACTTGCAGATTCCTTTGTTCGTGAATTATTGAACATAATTTGCCCGGATAAATCAACCAAGTCGCTAGGGGTGCAACCCCTTCAAAAGTGAAGAGTTCCCTCTAACATGGGTTCCCCCTATTGATCAAGGATGTGGCGCAGCAATCGCGCGCGTTTGTATTGATCACCCCTGGGTAGGCTCTCCCTCTTGTTAGTCCCTCTTGCAAGGGACTTGCCAGGGTACTCAGCGGCACGCTGGGAAGTTGGGGAGTCAGTTGCCACCCCCATGGTTCCCATTCCTCGGGTCCAAAAATGTTCGCCACTTGTTGGGGGCAGGTTCCGACTTTTGCTTGGCCAAGCCCTTCGTGAAGCGAGTCAACAAACTGAACCCCAAAGAGTATCCGTTTGCCACTCGAGTGCATTGCTTTCCTCGCCCAAGGCCGACCTTTGACTTGTTGTTTTCCAGTGTCCATTTTTGGCCGGTGGTCTGAAAAGCTTAACCTTTCATTCCCAGGTCCGCCTTCAAACCTGCAGTGTCCCTCTTCTTTCGCAGCGGGTACCCTTTTTGGGGTTGGTTTACAGGCAAACAGTGGGTATGCGGGTGTCCCCGAACACGACGCATTCCGAATGGAACTTCCCAGGGTTTGGGCTTTCGGTGACCTCCGGTTTCGTTCGCGCAGCGAAACGAGGCTGGAGGCGGCCATCGAGGCGGACCCCTTCGATGTGGCCAGCTGGGATGCGCGGCTCAGGGAAGCCATCCAGGCCATGGGATCTTCTGGCGCTTCGACCAGGGTCGATCCCGCGGGTTTGAACCACCATCCAAATGGAGGTGGTGGAAGTTTTAAAGGTGGTTTCCCCATGGCCCATTGAAGGGGGTGGTTTCAAAAGTCAGCTTTTTCGAAGCATGAGTTTGCTTTGAGCCTTGTATGCTTTCGGGTTGGCCCTGAAAAGGACCGTATGGGTTTCACTGCCTCCCTGAATACCCTTTCAGATGGTGATCCAAAATGAGTTGCGCCCCTCGCAGTGGCCTCTCCAAAGACCAGCGGAGGAATGGAGAAGGGATGGATGAGCCCCTACTTGTGCTTCAGTGAGAAGTTTTCACCCCAACTTGTTGCGGGGAACTAAACGACCACTCTGAACATGCTCTGTGATACCAAGGGCCCATTTCACACAACCGTGATCCAAAGGTTGACATGTTGTGGTGGATCAACTGGAACCTCGTTAATATTACTTTACATTCTGAGGTTCACGAAGTATGGGCCAGGATCTGAACATATTGTTTCTGTTTGTGGGCAAAAGCTACCAGTCAAGGGACACCAACAGAAAACCATTCGTGGATGGCATATTTTTTTTTAAGACTTCAGCCAAGCTTCGACTGAATCAGTTGGCGTTTGTTGATACAATGTTTCTATCCAACGAGTCTGGAGCGGGCCCTTACCTGGACAGAGTTACATCTTATGCTTCAGTCGTTTATAACCAAAATCCTGATTTTGTATTTACCTCTTTCCTAATGGGAACAGCATTTGTGGGTTATGTTACCGAATGGGGAGTTACAGTAGTTTCACAGCTATCATCTCCCATTGCATCTTCAATGGAATGGCTTCAGGGGGGACATCATGTTTAACATCCAACATTGAACAAGTTCTTTGTCTTGTGTGTTGAATTTTCATGTATTCTTTGCTGGTTTCTTCTTCGCAACGCTTTCAACCTACATTCTACCTTGTAATCATCCTCGCAGGAGTTCCACTAGTAAGGGCGTACGAAGAGTAGATGCCACTGGAAAGATATTAAGTAGTTGCTTGTCTAATTATTCTTTAAATTACCTCCGGGTGCTCTCCTTTCCCACGTCCAGATGATGCATTGGACGCATGCAGCAATAACGCGTATGTAGTAGTGACAACAAATGTCTGAATCAGTTGCTTGTTGTTGTTACGTTGAATCATGTCCACAACAGTCAGCAATCAAACAAAAACGTACATGGTGACAACATGACTGAATTAGGTGTCTTTGTTGCATGGAGCAATCTAGATGTATCATGGCTTAGTCATGTTATTGCTTTCTTGCTGGCCAGCAATGATGAGCTTGCTCGATTGTTGGTAGTTGTTGCTTTTTACTTTGTCTACCCACGCCAGCAAAAAAATCCATGCGTTGGTCCCATTTATTATTATGAGACGCACCCAAGTTTCAAATTCCATGCGGACCAAGATCCATACAACTTTTGAACATAGTCGGCTATCCAATTCCTCCACGAGCCAGCAATAAAACGAACTTGTTGCTCGAGTTTTGGAAGTTTGTTTGTTTTTGTGTGTTCGTCTGTTTGCTTTGGCTTTCGTAGGGGGGCCTTGAGTTGCGGCAGGACGGCAAGGCGGAGGCGGTCTTCGAGCGGGCTGTGAAGCAGCTCCCCTACGCCGCCCGAATTTGGGCCGCCTATGCGGAATGGAGCGAGATGCAGGAGGGTAGCCATGGCTTCACGGAGACACAAACCTGGTTTGATGCTAGGCCCTGCAGATGGGGTTCTCAGTAAATCGACTGTTCAACCCTTTCTTTGGCTTTACATGTTTGTTCTGTGTTTACTGTCGGCCCCATAAAGTTAACCTTTGTTTCAAGGTGCTGGTTGTCACCGGGTTTGCCAGATTGTGGCGAGGCTTGTTTTTGAACCCATACGAGCCCGCCGTCAAATGACTCGAGTGCCGCTCATTTGGCGATTAATTTCACCCTCAAACCTGGCGTTGGACAAACAACTCCATGTTTTCAAGGATCGAGCCAACTAGACACTACCCTATTTTTCATTGGGTTGGCTCGGAACCATCGACCCCTCCTCCCACAGTCATGGCACCGGACAAGGGGTTCCTTGAATCGGAAATTGATCTTACGGTACGCTTTTAGAGGTGCCTTCCGCTAGTGGCAGGGAAGGTAAACAAGCTCCAGCCATTGGTTGATTTTGGTTAGATGGTTGGTTGGTTGGTTGGTTGGTTGCTTGCTTGCTTGCTTGCTTGCTTGCTTGGTTGGCGGGTTGGCTTGGTTGGTTGACCGGCTGGTTGGTTAGATGGCTTGTTGGTTGGCTGGTCGTTTTGCTTGGTTGGTTGCAGACGCCCGGCTTCCAGCCGATCAGTTGCCAGGACTCTGCGGCGGCGCTGGGGGTGTACAGCCGCTGTTTGCAGCAGGTGTCGCTTGGCCCATGAAAGTCACCGGGGGCTGGGGGATGGGCATCGAACACAGCTCGTTGGCGGGAAACAACTGGTTCGGAAAGCAACTTATTAGGTATCTAAAGGAGGCTTCTTAGGCATCGAGCAAAAACTTGTTGCCATTCCGGGGGAGGGGGGGGGGAGCCGAGTGATTGCGGGCTGAATGAAGCGATTTTTGGTATGGGCTTCTGAGCGGGGTGAAAACGGTTGTGAGGTTTTTTTTCAGGGTTTCTCTGAGCGAGGCGACCAAACAAGATCAGGTGAGACTTCCAACAGCAAGCAACCCTTGGACCTGAACCCTTTGGAAAGACAGCTCCTTACCGCCAGGCACCCAATCTGGCGACTGCTTCGAACCCTCCGTGGTCCTTCTGTGCAACTCCTCCCCTTTCATTCCGGGTCGCTTTTTGACAGGGGTGGTGGTGACTTGTGCTGTTCATGTCCCTTTTCAAGTGCCCCAACTGATTCTTTGTGGGTCATTGCCATCCTGCGCTGAATTGTATCCTTGAGAAAAACTGAGAAACAAATGGGAGGGTTCCTGAAGCCAAATATGGACGTGTCAGGGTTGACGCCTTATTCTCCACCCATTCCCGTTCTGAACGGGATGTTTGAGAGGAATTGGGAGGTGGCGAGATCGCCTCAGAACATCACCCCACTCAACTTTGTTTTTTCTTTCCAAAGGGGGCGGAATCAACTCAAGTCTGGGCCTACCCGAGGCCCAACATGGACCTGTGGCTCTCCTTCCTCAACTTCTCCAAGCGCCACCAGACCTTGGAGGAGGTGCTCAGGTCCTACGGCCGCGCGGTGGACCTGCTGGGCAGCGACTGGCGCGCGCCACGGCCAGGAAAAACCCGGCTGTGCGGTGCTTCAAGGGGCCAACTACGTCAGGACCAGAGGGCTAAGACCAACGCCTTCTGAGTCAAGTAGAATCAAAGGTCAGGGGAGTTTGTTCGCCGCTCCACGGGTTTCAGGGGCAGGTTGCTTCGGCTTGGTGCCTTGGGTTGGTTTTTTAAGAAAACCGAACAGCCCCTCTGCAACCAAAGCGCCGGCGCTGGGCCAAGCCACCAGGTGATCTCTTTGTGCCCCCCCCCCCCCCCCACGCTCCCCAGGTTGCTGAGGCACGCACAAAAAAGAAAAGGCTGAATCTACATGAGGCGCCTACCTTAAAAAGTCAGGGCCGCCGAAGTTACCCAACGGAAAACGTACAGGCTTGGTTGACGTCTTACCCAAAGAAGTAAGCTGAAACCTACCTTGGGTTTAACAAACTGGAGCCCTGTTCAGCACTGGTATGTCTTCTTCGTGTAATGAAAGGGATTGCTTAGAACTGGCACTCGTCCGTTGAACGAATGCACACATGCAATCTGCGTGCCACTGTACCTGTTTTGATGCTGTTCCTTGATGATAGGAAGCCGGCTAAGTGTGAGTGGGCGCTGTGGTGCTTGGATGTGTTGAATGCTTTGCTCTGAGTTGTGCTCCAGGGTAAAAAGTTTAGACGCAGGGGTCTGACCATCTTAGTTGCCCAAAGCCAGCCTTTTTAAGCGTGTGACCTTGGAAAGGTTAACCTTTCTCCCGTCCCAGTTTTGCTACTTGATGGAGCTGCAGGCATCGCCGATTTGGTCGGACTACCTGGCGCTGCTGAAGCATGCCTACAATGTGCAGCAAAAGAAGGAGCGTGCCCTCGCCCGAACTCGGAGAGCAGCAAGATGCGCGAGAAAGGGTGATGCTGGGTGATGGGAAGCCAGGGCAATCGAAAGCGGGGTGTTGGGGGAAGGCAAATGCAACGCCGAAAAAAAAGAAACACCGTGGAGTCAGCCAAATGCTCGGACAGTCGTACTGTGGGGATAGGAGGGCAACATATTGTCATGTCATCAAGGCGACTTGCCCTCTGGCTCAGCCAGGGGAGTGTCGATTGCCCAACAGTTGCAGATAACCAACTGCAAGCCACGGGGCAAGACAAAGAATCGTGTTTACTTTTGTTGCGCGTTCCGAGGAGCAATTGGCAGGTCCATCTTATTCCCCAACAGCACCGCTTAGATGGGTGTGAGGCGGCCGTTCTGTAGCTCCGAGGCGACTCTTTGGGCTGAATATTTTTCTTCTCTGTGGTTCCTTCCAAGGCTGCACGGCATGAACCTCCGGCAAACCCTGGCATATTTTTCCTTCACGTCAATGGACCCTCCCCCGCAAAATTGTGCCACACCAACAACCATGACAAGAGAGCAACCAGCAGGCAATGCTAGCAAACCACAAAGAATCTCACGAGAGAATGCCAGAGAGAGCGGCCGAGCCTTCCCAAATCCAACGTTTTCAGCTGCTTCAGCCGTGCAGGAAAACCCGGACGCCGAGCTCCAGGGCAAGCTGCTGGCGGAGGACCCCAACCCCATCGACACGGCCCGGCGCACGCTGAAGAAGGAGCTCAAGCAGAAACAGGCGCGCAGCGGCCACCCCAAACACGCAGAGTGTCTGGAGTGTCTGTGGTAAATGGCCGTTGTTAGTGGCAAACAATCAAGCGCAACACTAGTAAGGGGGTCCACATCCATTGAGGGATGGTTTGGCTTTTTCCCTGGCCGTGCGAGAAATGGGATTGTTTACATGTAAGGTTCACAAAATCAGCACCAAGCAAATCAGTCTTGGCTGTTGGTCAAAGAGCTGAGGAAGGGAAGCAAGGGTGAGGGACGAAAGAAAGCAACATGTACTGGCAACAGTCAACACATGTCAAGACACACCTACTCAAGCCAAAAATCAGCAAGGAAGCGTCAGCACACACACACACACACACCAACCAGCCAACCAGCCGACCGACCGACCTTTGACACTTTTTGAATCGTGATGGAAACTAAATGGGCTTGTCTCAAAATAGGGGTACCCCCAAAGCGCCAAAGGGTACCCTCACTATCTGAGAATCTGACTAGGAAACCCGACTGCTCCCCGCCAGCCGTGCGTCGACACAGGAGGAGACCGGCCGCGCCTCGGCCGACATCTCCGACGCGGAATTCCTGCGGGTCTCAGACGTGCTGAAGCGGCTTGGCCTTTGATTCGGAGGATCCCTGTGGTGTTTGGATGTGAAAGGAAACCAGGGAAGAAACCAACCGCCCTTCAATGTTAAACTTCCCGGAAGCTACAGTTGCAAACCATTGGTTGACTTTCAGCCCCACAAGAGCTATCGGTTGCAAGCTCGAGGCCTTGTTTCAAGCTTCAATGCTGAAGAGTCCAAGCTAATTTGAAGTGGACCCAAGCGAGCCCCAAAGAGCATATGGAAAGGCCGAAGCCATCTAGGAGACTTTCCACTTTAACCACTACCACATGACATGTATATATTCCAGCATGTTTTCCGGGTCAAGGCCACTGTGTAGCTTACTTGTGGACCAGGCGAGGGTGCTTTCTTGTTTGTCAGGCTTGCTTGCTTGCCTGCTTGGCCTAGCATGTTTGTTTTGGGCCAAGGATCGACCAGGAGTTCATCCGGAAAGTCTTCCAGAGGTGTGCTGGGGCTTCTCACAGCACCATGGATAAGCTGTGGGTGGGCTACGAGCAGTTTGAGAAGTCCCAGGCAAGTTCCTACAGCCAGCACCAGTGGGGTTTGGCCCGAGCGAGCAGCAGAAGTTCGTGTTGGGGTTTGCTGAGCATGGGCACGCGACTCAGCGTGGAAGTTGCTGACTGGCTTGGAAACTGCACATGGCTCACCCCACAGGCGCTTCAGAAGCCCATGATGTGTGGCTTCCCTTTTGAGGAAGCTCTACTTACCAGGGTGGGCCCCCGTGTTGTTTCTTCCAGGCCCCCCTTGGCTGTCGTCCGGCGGCGCGGGGGGGAAATTTTTGAGCGCGGAGCCTCCGAGCGCAGGGGAACCCAGCCCTGGCGGCCAAGTACATGTCCGAGCACATGCCTCGCTATGTGAGAGGCAAGGCCGCCTACAAGGCGCAGAACGGGGGGGATCGGGGGGGGGAGGGATGTTGGCATGGACTTGTTTTGCAAGCCCCACACCCTTTAGAGTCAATACTGGAGAGAGGGTGCTTGCAAAATGGACACTCAGCTAAACAAGGTGGTTGTCCATCGAGTTTCTGAATCCACCTCGGGCGATGTCCAAGGCCTCTTTTGTTCGGCGTTTCCCACAAATGATGGGTTGCTTCAGCGCGGCGTCCCAGGGCACCTCCGCTGTAATTTCCCTTGACCCTGCTTAAGAAGTCGAAGGCGCAGCGTGCAGGCCTTCAATTTCGCAGTGGACTTCCAGACACTCTGCCCGCAACCACCTCAAAACATGTGCGGGTTTCCCGGGTCTCAAAATGGATCACCCAAGTTTGTGCCAACATGGGCATCAGAGACCCTCCCCCCCAAAGCAAATTGGGTGGTTCTCCTCTGTCTTGGTGTCCCTTTAAAAATCGACCACAGGAGGGTGGCCGCAAAAGCTCACTTCCTGAGTTCATGAACTTCAAACTTTTTGGGAGGACCATTTTAGCGGTACAGAACAAGTTTCTTTTTTTTTGGGGCCATCCACTTGGCCAGTGAGAAATGGAGCCACGCCTCCCTGCAGTTTGGGGGGAGGAGTTCAGCCAGCTGGGCGCCGGCATTGACTACTACGCCGTGGCGGTGCCGCTGGCGCCGAAGACGGCGGCGGAGCAGAAGAAGCAGCCGCTAGGAGCGAGATGGCTTGGGCGCCCGACAAGCTACTTAGGAGATGGCGCGGAGAGGCAGAGAGCGAGAGAGAGATCACTTTCTAGAGGAATGAATCTCCTTTGAGGCGAAAGGACGTCTTTTGTTCCCTTGGGTTCTGTGGTAGTCGGGCAGGGAGGGGGCGTGTGCTTGGTTTTAGGTGCCGTGTGGAGGCACCCCAGATTTTGATTTCTCGAATCTGCCCGACAAAGGGATAAGCGTTCTCCCAGAAACTGACTGCTTCTGTTCTAGGCCAAACCAGGTGTTTAGAAGACAACAAGTCAGCCCCACTTGAAGAGGGACCAGGGTGATGGCACGACTTGCTGTTCGCAGTGTTTATGCTCATTTGGGGGGTCTTTTCCCCATTTGGGTTTAGAGGCAAAGTCGTGATTGGTTGGGCTAAAGTGTTAACCGCAGGTGGTCGCTTGTCTTGACTCTTTGTAAGTGTCCACTTGGGCCACCATTTTGGCTCAAGTGGGCACTTCCCTTCTGTCTTGGAATCTGAAACTTCTCATTCCCCTCCTATCAAAGCCATGTACGCCCCCGCCTATGCTGGTGCCGCGGTTGCAGAGGCTAAGGCGAAGGCAAAGGCATCCATGGCGAAGTACCTGGCAAGCCTTGTGAAAAAGGAGGAAGAAGGTTGGACCGTCCTGGCGGCTGAGGTCCCTCAGGCACCGGACGAACGGTTCTTCTCCAGCGCCGACGAGCTGGAGCAAGCCCCACTCATCCCAGCCAAGCGTAAGGCCGAGGACGAGCTGATGGCGGACTCCTCCCCTGGGGTGGCGCAGGTGCCGAAGGCCCTGACACGCCCCCCAGGGGCGTTCCTGGAGCTTCTCGACCCTCCAGAGCCGGATGTTCCCATGGAGGAACTCCTGGCGGAAGACGAGGAGGAGCCCCCGATGGAGGAACCCCTGGCGGAAGATGAGGTGGACCCCCCGATGTCCGACACCAAGTGGCAGGGACGCCAGGACCTGATGGAAAAGGCCAGGGCGCAGGCGTCCTCGGAGGGGGATGAGGACCCCGCAGCCCCCCCGCCAGGGGGAAGCGTCTTCACCAAGGCCCTCAAAGTCTCTGAGGGCCTTTACCAATTCAGTGCGGACCAGATGGCGGGCGACTTCCCGTGTTTTGATGCGACCACGGCCACCAGGCTCCGCCGACTGCAGGCCAAGGATGTCCAGCGGCTCCTGAGAGGCTTTGAGGGCCCCCAACTCAAGCAGGGGGGCCTGGAGCGCGTGGTGGAGGCGTTCTACATCGCCAAGATGAAGTATGAGCATGAGGCCCTGCTCAGCACCCCGGGACAGAAGGTTGGCAAGCGCGCTGGCCTGGGGTATGGGGGCCTGGAGAACCGCCCCCTGGGTAAGGAGCCCACATCCTGGATCTGCCCCTGCTGCACCATGCCCTGGGTGAAGAAGGGCGCCAGGAAGTGTATGGGGTGCGGCAAAAAGACGGAGCCCATCGACACGGCGTCCAACTTGGCCACCCTGGAAATGGCGGGCACGCACTGGCAGCTGACAGTGGATGACCAGGGCAATGCGGTCTGGACGGCGGCCCGGTCCGCAGGTGCCGATGGCCCTGATACGGACCGGGCCCGCGACCTCAAGCTCAGCGCCTCGGTGGATGTCAGCGAGCTGGCCACCGACCCGATGGCATGCGAGAACCTGGACCAGGCCAGCTTCTCGGATTTTGTCCCCTCCTCGGTCCGGGCGGTGATCAGGAACTGCCCCATGGAGCTGGACGAGGATTTCCTGACGGCCCCAATGGGGGAAAGGCCCCCGTTGCCGGGCGACAAGGAAGAGGGCCAGGAGTGCAGGGCCTTCCACCCGTCGGCAGTGAAGGCCTTCAAAATCCAGACCCGGCTCAACGCCACCACCATCGCCCAGGAGGAGGCCAAGAAGGCAGACCAGGTGGCAGCGGTGGAGCGATCCGCGGCGGTCCTCCACGAGCTTCAAGGAGGGGCCATCGATGGAGGAGGCGATGGGGGCCAACTCCTCAAGAATTTGGACTTGGACCTCTTCCGCGAGAAACTGCTGGATAAGCTGGGCGCGGACTGGGGGAGGCCCACACCGGAGCTCCTCCAGGCCCAGACCACTGCGGAAGAGGCGAAGGCAAAGCACCAGGCCAGACAAGCGAAGGGCGCCCTCGAGACCAGAATGCTCGAGCCCATCAAGCCTCCATTCAGTGCGTGGCCTAGCGAGGTCCGAGTTGCCATTGAGACAGGGGTCTTTGAGCCGACCACGGCATGGAGGGATTTCAGCATGGACGACCTCACGTCCCTCACGGACTCTTACCTCGAAGCCAAGGCGGTCATCTCGCTGGGTAGGAACCCCTTTCCGGCGGCCCTCCTGGCAGATCTGCCGGATCTGGCGGGGATCCCCATTCCAAAGGCGGGGGGCTCTGGTGCGGCGCGCCCAGGTGCCGAGGGCCCTGACAGGCAGCCCACCATCCCCCCAGCTTCGGGCTCTGGTGCGACGAGCTCAGGTGCCGAGGGCCCTGACAAGCCGTCCGCCACCCCGGGGGGCCTGGACACCCAGGACCCGGAGGTGCAGCTCGCGGTCCTGCGCTGGATGATGAGCAAGCGTGTCGGAGAGGTCCGCATCTTTGCGGGCCGCTGGGTCCGACGACCGGGGCCCGTACACGTCCCGGACTGGGCCAACAACCTCACCAAGGTGAATCCGGAGGCGCTGGAAAAGGGTACGCATCCCAGGAACCACCAGGCGGGTGGACTCCCATGGGCCAGGTACTCCGTTGAGGAGCTGAACCAGCAGGCCAAGGCGGGGGACCGACCATACCCCGAGGACCTGCGATCCATCTTCTGCGGGGTCTGGGCGGCCCCCCACGATCCGGAGGAGGACTTCCACTGGGCGCGCCAGATCTCGTCCTGGACACTCCCCGGCTTGCTGGGGATGTTTGGTCACAGCTTCACTCTGCGCCAGCTCTGGGGAGTCTGGGAGTCCCTGCCATTGCTTCAGGGCCCTAGACAGCGGGGCCCGAAGAACAAGGCCCAGAATCAGATCCGCCTGGAAGGCTGGGAGACCCTGAAGGAAGATGCTCGGTGCTTCCTGAAGGAGGAGGGCCTTCCGCTTCCGCAGACAGGACCGGAGTGGCGCCTGGTCTACCGGGCCATGGGCAAGGTCCTTGCGGCCCGGGCCTTCCTCACGGACACCCCGGCGGAGGTAATGCAGCTCCCGGTCCAGGACGTGGCGGACTCCAAGGAACAGATGATCCTCCGGGCGGTATGTGATGAGCGCATATCTGTCCCGGTGGAGAGTCTCCAGCAGTTCCCAGAGGTGTACCAGGCCCTCATGGACCGCATTGGAGGCCCGGGGGCCCTGGCGGAGGTGAAAGTCAACTGGCGCTGCAACACGAAGCAGTGGTGGGTCGGCGCAGTCCCCGACTCAGTGGCCCCCTCCATCTACCGCAAGCTCGGCTACACCAACGACATGATCAAGCTGATGGGCCTGGACCCCTCCGCCCCCGGGTGCCGGACAGGTGCCGATGGCCCTGACATCCGCCCCAGGGGAGGAGAGGGCGATGAGGGGATCGTCTACCCCCCCATCACATCGGACAACGTCCACGGCGTGGTGGGCAAGGATTACAAGAAGAAGAACTTCTCGGCAGAGACGAAGCACGTCTTCTGGGCGCACATGGAGTGCGGCCTGGTTCTGAGCTCAGTCACCCCATGGGAGCTCATCCCCAAGACGAAGGGGGAGACCCGGGGGGGCTATATGTGCAAGTACTGCAAGGGGTACTGGCGCGCCGGGGGAGGGGGCACTCGCCTCCTCCAGATCCGGGCCGGCAAGGCCATCCTTCAGCTGGTGCTGGACGAGCCGCCCGATGGACTGTACAACCGCTGGGTCAAGGAACGGCTGGAGTTCTACCGCCGGGTAGAGCCGTCTGCCCCGCTGCGGGATGTCTCCGTGGTGGACCAGAAAGTCCCACGGTTTAGGTTCAGCCACGTCACCCAGACCGGCCATGTTTCAGATGCCATCTGGGAGCTGATTCTCCGGAACCCGGAGGCGGCGGCGCTCAAGCGCATTGACGACATTGCCAAGGGGGCCGTGTGATCATGCAGCACTGCGGCCATCCGGAACGGACTCGCAGGGCACCCCGGGGGAGGACAGCTGCCGATGGCGCTGATATCCCCCCCGGGCACAGCACAGGCCTTGACCTGTACCAGGCGAGAAAAATGGGCGCGCTTGGGCTGGTCCGGAGTGCGCCTGGGCTCCCCCCCTCGTTTGGTTTTTCCCTTTCCGTGGAGGCTCCCCGGGTCCCCCCCCCCCCGTTTTCGGGTTTGGCTTTCCGGGGTTTTGGGGCCCCCCCTGTTGTTGGGTTGGGGTTGGCGCCTAGGGATTTGGCTCCGGGCTCGAGTGGATCATGATGATGTGGAGGCCCCGCCTCCCTTCCCCGTTTGGAACGACCTTCCTAGGGGTACCAACCGCGGTCCAGTTGATTTTGCATGACCTTGGATTTGCACCAGTGCAGTCGGACGGGGAAATCCTCGTGGCGTGCTGCCTGGAATGGGTCAAAAAGGACCAGGTTGCCAACCCGGATGCGGTGGTCTTCGACCCGCGACCGTGGACACGAATCGTGGGGATGGCACCCGACGATAACCATGTCCTGGTGGCCTCGGACACCTACAACTTGATCCTCGCAAGGATACTCGGCTCCCAACCACAACCGCTGGAGGAGGCGGATTTGGAGCTCGCTACTAAGACCCTGCAGCAACTTCTGTTTCGTGCGGCAGGCGCTAGACAATCGTACACCTATTCTCCACTGGAAATGGAACAGGCCATCCGGGACCGTGAGGAGTGGATCCTCTCCGGATCGATTGAGGCCCCGGATGTCCTGGCAGTGGCCAACAAGTGGCGGCATTGGAAACCAGGGAAGATCAAAACCCAACTGCCGACATCCCAACGAGCGTTGGAACAGCACTTGAGGGCCAGGTGGCTGGAACGCCTCCTGGGCTACTTCATTCCCT